CAAAACTCACTGACAGATTTTACTTCACAGATACTTGGTACAGATATGTTACAATAACAAAAAATTTGCTTCTAGTACCTTACATACACGTGCTACCCTGGAGACTTTATACTTTCCACAGCTTGCGCATTCCAATGTTCCCTCACGAAAAAAGACATACACGTAATTCCCAATGATGAAACTCTTGACAAAATGTACATCTACATAAATAAAAGTTTAAAAAGATTAAGTAATGAAAATGTCATAAAATATACCTGGAAGAACAATTACTTCTGAGGATGCAAATTTCTCTGCATCATGTTCTTGCACACATTGTGCATGCAAATAACACTTATCAAGACTTCACTGCCATGACAAAAAATATCTTTTGAATCCTGACCATCACTGATGCATAAGGAGGGTCTTCACCAAACCATGGAGGGCATGTAAATGTAAACAAATAGAACTGCATTTGCAGCTACCCCTTTGCAACTACTCCTAGCATTATTTATTGACACTTATTACTCACACCAAAATATTGATCAAACTTACCAAAGTAAAGGTCTCTTTCAGACGTAAAATCAGTGGCCAGTTCTCCAATTCTGGGCTTAAAACTCTTACTATGAATCATGGATAATCTTGTTGCCACATTTATTGTTCCTCTGAAGACTCTTCCATCTTCTGTAAAAACCAAACAAAGCAGAAAACTTAAAAGTTTAGAATCAGGCATTTTTAACCAGCCTATCTCAAATTATCCACAATTTGCATACCCTTTGTGTTGTTCCAGATACAGAACCCAATTATAACATTACTGAACTCTTCAAGCCTGAAGATTTGATTGTTAATTCTCCCTCCAGCTGCTTATACTCATCTCTTTGCAAAATCAATAACAAGAATTTGGTGTTTGATCAAGATACGTGTTACTATTTCTCTTTGAGGGTTAACAGTGGTTCTTTTGAGACAGACTCGTCAGTGTCAGTTATGTAGGAGGCATTATTGAGAAGAATGGAATATGACAGAACCAGAATCTAGTTTTGTACTGCAGGTCATAAAACCAGAACCTATGCTAAGGTTCATTTCCCTGTAAGAGTCACAATTACTGACTCAGCAAACAGTCTTTGCATTCAATTTTAGTTTTAAGTCTCTACAACGTCAGCAACCACTCCACAAGGAAAACAAAATGTAAAGCACATCTCAACCGCCAAATTCATTTTGTCAATAATTTTCTGCTGTTCATTGATTTTATAGGTTTCCTTTTTTAAGATAACTGTTCTGTCTACTAATTTGTTGGTAGTTAAAATGTTAAGACATAAATTGTAACCTAGTTTGAAATAAACAGATCTTTACACCTTGTTTGTCTAGCTCCAGTTGTTGAAAGGCTGGATAACACTATCCACTACACAAGTCTCTTTTTAGTGGTTAGCACAGTACATCTTGTTACCACTTACACACTAGACCGTGATTTATACAATGGATAGCACCATCCACTCAAACAAAAATTGAGCCCATGTTGTTTATACATCATGCAGACATCATAAGACAATTAACACCTAAATTTTCTTTCCAAATTAATCATATCCTTTCTTGTACGCACACTTTATTTCCATACCCAGAGAACATTAACCTAGCTTTCTGAGGATTTCCCATGATCTGTGATGCACGATGGGATTTCACCCAAATAAAGGTTCACTAGTGTTCTTCTCAAATGCTCATAGTCATCTTAACACAAACCTGTTATGACACCTGTGTCATTTTGACTTGGTCTGCTATGATAATTTTCATCATTTATAAACACATTCTGATTTCTATCTCTGCCTGGTGCTGCATCCAAATTTGTCCTCTGAAAATAACAGAGAGACTGTTGAGTGATTTAGAGCAGAAATTCTCAAAAAAAAAGAATAAGCTAAAATCACCATTTAAATATGCACATTTCTACTCCTCCTTCCCTCAAGCCATTCTGGGGTTTTTTAGCCATAATGCTCCGTACTGCCACAACTTCTGGTCAATATTCCCTAGTACAACCCCTTGAGCTGGGTAAGTAAGACATGAGTCTTCACCTTCCAATTGAGACATCAGTGCGAGTAATAAGTGTTATTACCTGATGCAAGCCACTTCTTGCCTATGTTATTTTCGACCCTTAATATAACTCTGATTTTTTAAAAGCTTGGTCTTTAAGTGTTGACTTGCTAGTTATAAATGTTTTTATCCTAATCTGGACCTTAACTTATTGAGGTCAATTAATGCATCAAAATTATAATAATCTTCATTGACAGGAGATAGAGGTTTCAAATTTTCCTGTGTTTCAGGGAACTGAGAACCTGTTGCACAAAAGGCTCTCTCATTAGTTCCTTTTTATCTGGATTGCTTCAATTAGATGGCAAATAATTAATTACATTTCTCCAGGTGCAGCCCACTGTCAGACAGATAAATATCCTCTCCTCAAATGGCAGCATTAACTTCACATAGTTATGGCAAGAACCATTCTGCAATCAAGATTTGATAGACAAGACTTAATAACAGCATTCAATCAGGCAAAAATATCTGGGATAATTTACATAACTGACTAATTAACTTCCAGGCTATGATGGACTCACAAGGGTTGTGGAGGGTATAGTGACAAACAAAAAAGTCTCCGATGAAAAATAATAGCATCCCTATCATCTCACTTAAATGCAGATCTCACATTATGGTCCTTTTAGAGTCAAAGTTTCACAAGGAAATTTCAAAACAAAGAACATTTTAGATTTTGGAATGTAGTACTTGTAAGTGTTTTGAGGAACATAGATGGGAAGGTAGACATTGATGGCTATACCTTGTAGTTTCATTACAAGACAGCAAACATTTGCTTACTCTATAACAAGTCAATTTCCCTCCACAGAGAGAAAAATCATTTGCCCTTCAGCTCCCCTCACACAACCTCAATTAAAAAACTTCTGGACTTCCCAGATTACTAAACCCCTCCCTCGGCTTCCTCCTTCCCATTCTGTTAAACTTCTGGGATCCATCCCTATAACAGGGTGAATTCTGAAAAACAAGTCATAAATTGCTTCCCATTTTACTGAAAATGAGGTGGTGCTAATGTAAGGGCAATCGATCCTGAAGCTCACAAAACATGCATGTATTATATAACAATTTATCATTTGAAGCTGTTTAATTAACAGTTGTTATATCCACCTGTCCTTTATCACATCCAAGGCTTGGGCTGGTCAAATTCCAGGACTGTATGAGATAGACAAATAATGTTATTAGTACTCATTAAAAACACACCAAACTTAAACTTTAATCTCGGAACAGCCTCTAAAAACAGTACTGCCAAAAATTTAGCCCTTACTTCAAAACTATTTATGTCTCCAAGATCCACTAGGAATGCATTTTCTCTGCAAAACATAACATATTAAACAAATGCACTGTCCACTTCAATACGTCTAACAAAACAATAATACAGCAGAAAATGAGTATTAAAAATCAGGACATTATGGCACCATAAAAAAGTGTTTTAGCTAGCCTATGATAACTCACCTTGCTCCTACAAGTAGTTGATTATACTTGCTGTCAACTGACAACACCGAGAAGTTTCCACTCTCTATCCCTCCTGTTTTCAGTGTCTCCATGTGGTGGTTGACAACTACGAAGGTAACAGAATTAATTGACAAAATTTTGCTTCCTTTGTTCCTTACTTAACCAGAAATCAAAAACAAACATAATAAGTGCAGAGTCCTGCTTCTTCGCCCTTTAACTGGCAAGATCTGACTACACTTAACAAATCTTCTAGCTGTTATGTGTAAAGTCTATATTTCCTTTAAAGTTAGTTCAAAAAGCTTACACCCAATCACCCTCAAAGTGATCAATGAATAATTTTTCCTCACAGTTTACATCAATAAATTGCCAAGAAGAAAGGAAGTGAGATGAAAAAAAAGCAATCTCAGGGATATTGCTTGATTCAACACCAAATTCTCCAGACTTAAATCATAAAAAAATGCATGGCAAACAGTGATGAGAATTGATGATAAGATCTTGGGAGTGAAAGGTTTAGGTATTCTTATGTTAGTGCAACAACCCTGAGCTGATAATTTTTTTTACTCTCACTGATTGTGTACTGGAACATATAAGGATTTTATCCATCAAGGGTTGCATAATTCTCAAAAAAAATTGCAATTCCCTCCACTATCTTAAATTCATATGTAAAGAACATTATCCTATCAATCTAAACACTCCTACAGCATTCTTTAAAGCTCATTATGCATCGAAACAGTGAATTCTTGGGGGGAGGGGTGGGGAATTTTGGGATTTTTTTCTTAGTCAGCAGATAGTCCACAGGACAAGAAGCTGAAGAAACGATACCCGAGTCTAGTACGTCTCAATACAGATGGAAAAGGACACGATTCCTCTAAGAAAACTATGTGCTATGGCATACTATACATGAAATGTAGAAATGTAAACTAGAACCCTATAATAAAACACCAAATTAAATCAAAGTGAAAAGAAAAACTTTACTTGTAAGAAAAATGGAAAGCAACATAATAAAAATCCTCATTAAAAAATTCTGGAAAAGGCGTGTGACCCTCTCCTTGAATAGCTTACAAAGAAGTATGACCCTCCCCTTGCAATTTGTCTAAAAGATAGCGATTCTCAATATTTTTTCGGATTTGCAAAATGGTTTTTGGATTGTCCCTTTTCGGCTTCCGTACATTCATCTACTTCCCGACGCTTAATATATTTAACTGCCAAAACATTGAACAATTTTGAAGTGCAATCATGATGTTGATTTTTGTTCAAATTACTCTTGTAGTTAAGCAAGGACCGAGCTCTTTGATGCCAATATCTTCAAACTGATTTAAAATACTTTCGAGTTAATGAGATGCCCTCCAGGCTGGCATGGTTTATTGTTGAATTACACTGTTCAAGAGGGTATGAAGTTTCCAAAACAACCCTCTTAAGCGGTGACAATACAATGTCAAAATAAATGAAAACTGATAGAAATGCCTCAGTACATAAAGACTGAATCTTGCACTTGCGTGTGATTTCAATTCGATAATTGATAACGGGTCTCAGAACATACCTTCGAAATGTACTCTTGAGTGCGGTTCGCCATTGAACGCCACCACAATCCAACCAGATAATATTGCAAAATAGCTCAGAAGTAGCACATACAGCTTGTTCCGTTGCTTCATTTGTTGCAGTCGGGCTGCGAATTGATCAGACGATACATTTGAGAACCATCAACAACACCATGTCTACATTAGTTACATGGGAACGTCATAGTGCTGGAATTACCTAATTATGAACTAATAGCTCATTTGCATGATGACGTCACGTGCGCAAGGTATCACGGTAGTTGTAGTTAGCATTATCATTGACATGGCGGACAGTGATGAGCATGGTGGTGTTGGTGGATTTTATTGCTATGTTCCTGGCTGTTACAATAGCTCGACGAAGGATAAAAGTCGTCTCTCATTTTATGTTATTCCCAAAGGTGGCAAACTTCGAAAATTATGGTTAAACAAGATCTCAAGAAAGGGTTTTAAATCCCAAAACATCTCAGCTATCAGGCTATCGCGTCTGTTCAGAACACTTCGAAGGAGGTTGTAAAACCTGTAGAATTAATGTGCCCACTATATTTCCACTTGATAAATCACACCGAACTTAAAACCCTGAACCACGACAACAGTTTAAACGGCAATTTGAGTGTGTCAACACTGAAAAATAACTACGAAAACGAGATCGATTCTATTCTCGACAAACAAGACACACAAAGCCAGCGATAGATAGACCACGTTTTATTAAAATCACCTTTCAGTCTGACAACTGAATTGCGTGAATTTACAACAAATTGTGGAAAAAAATCGTATAAAACGCAACAACTTGTCTATGACTTCGTTGCTGTGCTTATTAATAAATGAGTCAGCCGATCCCTTCGTTTTGGTGGATGGCAGTTGATATTTCCGTTTCTTTATGAGGTTGTATGCTGGCTTGTTGGAGGCTGGAATTAAGTCGTGGATCTTGCTAGACGGGTTGTTAGCTGTCCACTGAAAGAGTTGCAAAGTCAGTTTTTCTTGATGATCTCGTAGGTTGTCTATTCCGACAAGCTGAGGGGCATTTGCGTATGATATTCTCGGGAAAATGCACGAGAGAGCTCTCCTCTGGACTCTCTAGTTCAACTCGTAGATACTTAGGTAATGCATTATACAACACTGGGCATGCGTAGTCTAATGCAGATCTAATACATGCACGGTAGTAAGCTACAAGATCTTTTGACGGAACATGCGCCGTTTGATCTGAACAAGAAAATAGTGTTTTGGAGACGATTTCGTAACAAGTTCTTCGATGTGATCCTTTCAAGTTAAATTAGAGTTGATCGTAAGTCCGAGTAAGTTGGCGCGTTGTACTAATTCGATAGGAACTCCGTTAACACATGCCCTTGGAAACGGTGGTCGTTGAGGATTGAAGTAGATGGTAAGTTCCTCTGTCTTATCGCAGTTTAACTGAAATAGATTGTCCTTTGACCAATCGTGCACCTGATCGACCGCAGTCTGTGTCTTCCTCTGCTGCTCTATGGGAATGGTTTCGGATATTGTTATGTCATCAACGTATTTCCACGTGTTGAAAATTTCGGAAACTGACAGATCACTGATCATGAGAATGCTTTAAACAAGCATGCGCCAGTTAAATTGACGGTTGCTTCTCTATAACATCTATTTGAAAATGATTGAATTTTCCCGCAAAAAGACTCTAAAATAAAGTACAGGCGCCTTTTTTTTTTTAATTTTTCGAGCGTATTTCTTTCATATCTTACCGATGAAAATTACTTCTTTGCTTGTGAAGTGTCTTCGGTATTTGTTCAAGATTCGTTGAAATAATATTCTTCGTAATCTTTATTGTCTCATGAAGTAAGCCAGTTAGATGGTGTTTCCTTTGATAAGTTTTATTCAATAGGCCATTTTACAGTTGTGTGCTTAGTTGCCAAGCCTTTAATTTGGAGTGATGAAGGTGACCTTGTTGTGATAGAGACCAGTATCTAGTTAAAGGGGTAAGTTTCTAAAGAAACTGCGGTGCTGCGTCGGTGGGAGAGTATAGCAGGTAATTTAGTGTTAACAACTGGGTTGAAAACGTAAATTAGCCACCGCAAAGGGTAAAAAAAGCTGACGTTTCGAGCGTTAGCCCTTCGTCAGAGCGATTAGAGGAATTGTGGGTTGTGTGCGGATTCATATGCAGTGGGGCTACGCCATTGGTGGGAATATGGTGACGAGAAAACAGGAATAAATTAGTTGAATGAAAAGCGCTCGTTGATTCCGTGAGGATTAAGGGTGCCGATTTGGAATATAAATTTTTGTTCTAGTGTTTTACGGCTTTCCAAACTGCCTAGATGTAAGGAAAGGCCGCAAACTGCCATGTGCTGTTTAGAATGATTAGGAAGATTAAAGTGTCTAGCGACTGGCTTGGATGTCATTTCTTTCCACATCGCGAAGGTGTTCTCGGAATCGGTATCTAGTTGGCATGGTAACAAAGTAATTTGCATTTGAAAAGCAGCAAGGTTTGTATCATAACGAGGTCATCCTTAGCCTCATTCCTGTTCAAAGGCTTGGCAACCAAGCTCAACTGTAAAATGGACTATTGTAATATCTTAATTCGTTAATTGAATTTCTACTCAATTGATTCAAAAGGTGACTTTTGGCGGGAAAATTTGGACCAATTTGCGCAGTTTCTCCTTGCAACTTTTTTTACATAAAATTAAAGAGGTTTCGTTTTTCATATTTCCTACCAAAAATTTCTGAACATTACCTCGTGCAAAAAATTCAAGACTAATTACCAATTTTCCTTTGTATTTTAAAAAATTCTCAAGATGAAATTTCAATTTTCCTTTTTACGAAAATTAAATCGAACAAAACTCTTAAAAACGTTTCGCTTCCAGATTCAAATTTTTTTGCAGAGATAATGTTTCCGGCTTTAAAAAACAGAGAAGCAACACAAAGTGTTATAGCGTTTCCGATGAAATTTTTTCATGGCCGAGAGACACTATCCTTCCCGCATTTGAATGTTTTTTTTTCCTATTTAACTGCGAATTCTGAGCTCAAAACTTTTCATGTTGCTTCTGACAGAAAATATAACATTTTCTGCTGTCAGCTTTTGTTTGTAACCAGATCAAATGGAACTTGAGCGCACAAAAAAGTTTTTAAGTAACTTTGATTTATCTTCATGGAAAATTATTTTACTGAATGTTCACCTTGTAAAAGAAAATAATCCTCTTCAGTTCAAAATAGTTTCTTTTTATTTGCAATTTTTTAAGCAATTTGTCATTGAAGTGACCTTCAAGTCGTAGACACGAGCAAGTGCTATTGTTGTTTTCAAAGAAAGACTTTAGTATAATTTGATAGCCTTGCTCAATTTTCCTCATCCTCATCCTTTTCCTCTTCACCAAGATAAATTCCTAAAACACATGTAACGCATTCCGCTGACAGGCAACGAGACAAACTGAGTTTTTATTGACAAGTGATTTACGCAGTTCTCTAACTAAAAGTATACCACTGAAACGTAAACTGAACAAGTGCGCGAAGTCATTTTGCCAAATTTTGTCTTGATGCGTAAACTCTACAAGCAAAGGTGGAAGAAACTTATGAAATACACCAGCAGATTCTACCACAAAGATAGTCTTGCAAGACATGAGAATTGATCAATTGCATGCACGATGAGAAGTCGGAGAAGTTAAACGCGTTGTAGGTTTTCTGTTGCCTTCCCGATTTTAAATTTTCAGTACATTTAGTTTAAGTTATCGCTAAGATCTTCTGGCCACAGTGCAGAAATAAACTGTTTCTTGATCTTGCTCTCGAATTCGAGAACCAGCCAAGATAACAATAAGAGTGTCATGTTTACCTATGCGTCATGGTTCTCCATATGCCCTAAGAAACCGTAATAAACTTGACCTCCTGACAAAGACACGGTACGGGAACGGCCCCTAGTAACTATTAGCTCGAGGTGCCGTTATTTGCGCGAGTTATGTCAAACCAAACCAGAGAAATTCAGCTAACCAAGTAATCTAACTTTTCGCTTAGCAAAATGCACCTTCCTTGAGCCCCACAATCCAGAACCTGTTATATTTCCGTAACATTTCGATACCGACGGCAAAAAAGCAACTTCTGATACGAGGTCAATACGTTTTTAAATTGATGGTGTAGTTCGGTAAAAAATAAGTGAAACCTCAAAGACAAACAGTAAACTCTTATCTTTCTCCACACCTTCCTCCCCTCGAGTGCACTCTGCCAACTCTTCTTAATAATGCGTGGTCTGAGAATGGTATCCCCGAGGGAGGATTTTATTGTCGTGGATCGCGAGTAATTGTGCGGGCACATTGTCGTGGGTCGCGGAAAACATTGAAAAACACTAAATTTGCGTGATCTGGCGACGGTTTCCCTCTGAGGACCTACTTCACGCGGGTCGGGGTAAATTGTAGCGGGGTGCGGGTAAATCATCGCGGGTCGTTGGTCGCGGATAAATAGTCGTGGGTAACTTGTGGCGGGTCGCTGGTAAATTAACGCGGGGGGCAAGAAAATTGTCGCAGGCGCGTCGTTTCCTCGACTATCCTACTACTTATAAAATGTACAAGCAACGCTTACACGAGACAAGTTACGGTAAACTTTAATTTTCGTTCAATAATACACAACAGTTGATAACAGTAATCAAATGAGATTTTTGGGAGACGTAAAAAAAATTCCAGTTTCGATTGGGGAGTGCCTTAAACTGAATACACGGCAAATTCTATGATCAAACAGCCTAAATACATACGTATTCAAACTTTATCTCCCTTCGGTGAGCAATGTTATGAGGTTCCTTTACATGAAAAAAAATCTATAATAAATGTGATAATCGTAGAGAAGAACATTTCTTACTTTTTATTTCCAGCTCTACCCTCGTTGAGACGAAAGTTAGACGGCGTAGAACCAGGTATTTCTACGTTCTTAATAATTACTACAAACCCAATCGGGAAGCCTGCAAAGTGCGTTTAACGACCACAGCTGATAATCGTGGTTTTTAAACAAAGATGATTAAAACAATCTTGGTTTTCGCCAGAGACCTCCTCTATCTGAGTATCATAAATGCAACAGTGCTCCCTTATCAAATTCTTTTCTAAAAAAATAAACTCCCCTCAATATAATTAACACAAACGAGAATTGTTTTGTAGAGATATAGACACAAAAAGTCAAAAGATTACAATTTTGCACCTTGGAGTCACACGACCTCCTCCAATCTAACTAGTTAATTTTTTGTGATTCCATACTGTTCAATCATGATTACTCATCTTTGCGGAAACTTTACTGAAGATATAATCTCTAGAATGAAATAAGCAAATCCATAGGATTCACTTTCGCATCGTATGCGAAAAATAATGAGAATTCTCTCCTCATTAACTCACGGATTCACTTAGCTCGCAGGCAGCAAAACAGGACTTTTCTTAATTCCCCTTATCCGATTCCCAGCTTAACGAAAATAAAAATTAGCTTCTTGTCAGTTACACCTTTGTTTCCGGGTGGAACAGGTTATGTGACTAGAAGATGCAAAATGGCTATTCATTCTCCAGCGTTTTATTTCTTTTATTAGACAACATGCTATGTAATATAAAAACAATTTATGGTCATATATAGAATTAGCTACACATGACGAATTTAAGCGAGAAATTTGGACTTCCCCCAATTCCAAAAAAACGTTAAACGTTTATCTACACAATAAATAGATGAATAATCCTTTACTAACGTATTTATGAAACGCTGCGCATTGGACGATATGTCACGAACGATATAGGATATACAGTTTTTCCCCAAAGGTGAACTATCTCGTACACCATCTAAATTTAATTTTTTGCAAAAAAAAAAAGCTTAAAACTGACGCCCGTTTAGAGCGGAATGAAGTCTTCCGTAGGAAAACAGTTTTAATAATCGTGCAATATCGAGACGTCATCAAACCAAATTGCTGATAAATGTTGATAAGTTTTGAAACGAATCATGCGCTCTAGCCAGTCTATAAATGGGAAGGGAATCCAAAAGATATTAAAAGTATTTACAACCGTCTAACTATATTTTGAAGACGCTTCACCAGTATGCAGCCTTGCTTGCTCAAAACGCGTTCCTTTGTTCCTCTCCGACCCTGCCCACAAAATCTGGAACGTGCAGGCGAGTAACTTACCCACTTGCAATCATACTGCACAACCAAAGTATTTTTTCCAAAGCTGCGGGGAAACGCCTCGTTTTCCATTCCCTTGAACCAAGCATTGAAGCTCGACGACATCTGCTTTGAACTGAGAATAGTACCTCTACTCTTTGATCTAATTCGTTGAGCCGTGATATTTGATAGTCCTCCAACCAGGGAAGGGTGGGGTGGGCTGATGCCCCTTCCCCCTCCTCTCGCGCAACAACAAACAGGTCTGTGTGGGAGTGACGGCCCATCGAATTCAGAAAATAAATTGCGCGACAGTTGACAGTCGTAGGTTGACTTGACCGAGGTGCACTAGGGCGGGTCCTTTCTGTAAACAAAATCTCCGTCTAATTCCCTAAGCTATACACTTTCGCTCGGAGCACGCTCTGTTCTGCACAGAATAAACCCTTTAAACGTTAAACACGTATTTTGCCTAGTGTTTCTGCTGTTTTCTTTACTCTGACTTTCCGAGGATGGACGACCTCTCGTAGATACACCATTCTGTCCATTGATTGGCGAGTAGTGACAATCACTTCTAGGACTATGTTCAGGAGTTTTTGGAACACTGTATGATGTTGATTCTTCCTTCTGTTTTCGTTTAACGCAATAAATACCCAGTCCTACCAAGATGATCACCACAAGGCCGATTGACAGCCCGATTACGAGACCTCTTACAAACTTTGATCCTCCAGTCTCTTCCGAGTCAGTTCGCCTTCCGGAAACTGCTGCAATCCAAAAATACATATCTATTAATGAAATCTGTCTCACACCTGTAACAATTCGCATGAAAATCACATCCAGATTTGCAAAACTACCACAATTGCTGTTGATCTCACTCACTCACTCACTCACTCACTCACTCACATAGACGAAGACTCGAATAGTGAAGAAAATTTACTCAAATCGAGTTAGCCCAGAGCAAAAACAACAACAACAACAACAAAATGGCTGTTGGAAGATAGGTAAAATGTCTGGAACAAGCCGTGTGTCCTGCTTCCAAAAACTTTTACTTAATAAAAATTCTCTGAAAAGTTTATTCCTTTTGTCTCACGCTTTTGATGCAAACTTTGCGGAGACCATCTCAGATATTCAACTTACCAGTACTACAATTGCAAGTTCCGTACTGGACGGTATTAGGACATTCCACTGAGTTGGGACAGTCCCTTCGGCACTTAAGTTGCCGAGACCTGACACCACTCCCGTCAGGCAGTTTTAGATCATGATTACACTCGCACACAGACCACACGTCCCAGCTATTAGTGTCGAGTTCACCTAACCGCGAAAAAACAAAGCCTTTTAAGGAACCATCTAACACCACTATCGTCCATTTAACATTGCGCGAAACACTCAATATGCGTTACGCAGGTAGGTAGATGCTCCAAAAGCCGCGCCTAATGAAAAAAAGATGCCTTTTGCGAGGTACCAAAGAACCATCATTTCAGTTATAGCGTTTTAAAAAACGCTGCTCCAGACCCCACACGCAGCAGCCTAATGCGAAGCGCACTGGATTTTGCTTCGAGAGGTCCAGGTTCGAGGCCTGGCCGATTCACTGTGTCAGGTTGTCGAGCAACACATTCAACACTCACAGTGCCTCTCTCTCTCCGCCCAAGAATACGACTGGGTGCAGGCGAATTGCCTGGGATGGGGAACAAGCATTCCATACAAGGAGTTCAACTCTCCTTGTCGCTAAATGCAGCGCATTGCGGGAGTAAGTCCAGCGGTTCAAGTCACGAGGCTATACTGCAGATCACACCGAGAATATAGTCTACGACAAAGTCAATCTTTACAGCTGACCTTTACAGTTGCTGGGTGAAGTTGGTTCACAGCTTCTTTCTTGTAACCTTTCCCCAACACAAGGCTCCACTTTACAATCTCTTCTTCTTATTTGAAATCCTTCCCCAGAACACTGACCCCAATCGCGCCAGGCTTTCCATTCTCCCTCTAACACAGGAAAAATATCACAACTTTACCCGATAGCTCTTCAAATATTAGCTGCACCATGCACATAGCTTGCGGTTAAACAGTCATTAGCAGTTAACTTTACTCTCCACTTGCATTGCACAAAGCCTAATTGTGCGCAAGGGCGTTTTTTCCTTACTAGTAAAACAGACCAGCAACCAAAAAGAAGAAGATCTCACTATTTTCTGCCTGCTATCTCGTGAAGATGTAATTACCATTTTCACAGTGGTTATGGCAGAACATCGTTAACTGAAAATGGAGCGATCTGCAGCAAGACGCGCGAACGATAGAAAGACACGCCTTAACACGTTAAGCCGATGAGAGTTTGAAGCAGTGCTTGGCACAGAAGAGTGCAGGTGACAAACTCGTGAATGATTTTTGACTTGCATTTAATTGGTGGAGATGACGACGTGATGACGTGATGACATGATGACATGATGATGCAATGAAGTAATGACGTGATGAAGTTTGTGTTCACTTTCCACAACACTTCTTACCTCCACAGAGATCTCTTTGTTTCTCGCAATCAAATGTCTTGTTGAGTATTTCAACACTGATGTTAGATATGTTATATCCAGTGGTTTTAAAGATCACTTCAAAATGAACACCCTTGTTTTCCGATAGGTTTAAAGATCTTGTTGGGTTTGTTAACAGCCGTTTTTCCACCTCTGATCGACGAAAAAACAAAAGACAGGAAAAATTGTAAAAAAAAAAAAAAAACCACACACACACACACACACACGCACAAAAGGAGTTTCGGGCGACTTTTTGTCAAATAGGCGTTTTACAGGTACAAAGACTTGTCTGAACACTTTTGTTGATGTTGTTTATTTTTGTTGTTGTTGTTGTTTTGCTGTTTCTATTGATGCTTCCAAAAATTTGGCCCTCAAAGTTAACTAAAAAAAAAGCAAGCTTAAGGTAAACATCAATTTTTCTTTACGCTTGGGAAGGTAAACGATATAAAATTTCTCCGAACACAAAAGTTTCCTCTCACACAAAAATTTGTAAAAAATTCAGCTTTTTAGTTGAGTCATTACGAGAAACCATGAAGACCAATGAAATTAGACATTACTTTTTAACATAACCCTTAACTATACGCACTCAACGACTCGTATTTTTTATTAACCAGTAAGTGCTGTAACTTTAAAGTAACAGAAGACCATTTACCAGCACTTCTTACCGTGTTTTCCCAAGTTACAGGACTCATATTGCACAGCCTCTCCTACACACGGTCTCCCTCCTCTCCTGGGGACTGGATTAGTACAGTTTCTTGTCCGCTTTCTTACCCCAACCCATGGCTTTGTTTCACAATCCGTCCAAGTATCCCATGCACTCCAGTTGCCGTGTTGCACACCATACTTCTCCCATTCCTCTCTCTCAGATCCGACAATAACGTTCACTGAAACAACAACCAAAAAAATCTACTAAAATCGGTCATGGGAGGTAAACAAATCATCATCAACATCTTTTTGAACATTAATTGCGAGTGAAATAGTTCCAGTTTCCAGGGAGAGTTCAACGCGACTGTTGAATAGTTAGCCTCCATCGGAACTGCATGAATTTGCCTGTTTATCACTCTTTCCCAGCACCTCCCCGCTACTATCTATAATTGTGTAATTTTTAGTGAGTCATCAGTGTTTCAGCGGTAATTTTAAGACAAAAAGAAAAGGAAAATAAAAAAACGCGTAGAAGGAGAAGGAAAATCCTTAGCAAACCTGTGCAGTTTTCAAATCGTAACTCATATCCACCCTGACAGGAGGAGTTTTGCCTGTCCTGGCAGGGACGAAATTGACATCGACAAAGATTTCCATCACTGCCTTCACAAGTTTTCCAAGGGGACCATGCGATTTGTTCTTTAAAGATATAAAACACACAACAAATTACATTTTTTGATCAGAGCAAAACCCAGTCCTTCGATTGGTAGTATAAGAAAGAAAGATTTTGTATCTGTTTTATTGTTGTTGTTCTTTGATAATTTAACCTTGAAATTTACTTTCACTGGCATCTGCGTAACATCCATTGGGTGAAAATCCTAAAGTGGTTGGATTGGAGACTTGTACTCCATAAGATCGGAATTTCTTTGGAAACATTTTAACCAAAAAATGTAGTTCTTATTCAGAATTCTCCCTTCTAACTGCAACACCTGTCTACATAACTTTGGTACGAGAATTTGGTTCCTTATCATTCAAGACTTTATAACTGACCATTTCTTCTATTCTCGTCAACTGGTTGCAAGGTAACGTCTTGATACTGTTGGGGGAAGTAACAACTTGATCACTTTAAACAGAGCACGTAATTGACACTGACCTGTTGTCTTTGGACAAGTACTCGAGCCTTTCCTCAATTTGTTTGAATCTCTGAAAAGAGTATTTAAAAAAGCAAAGAGTTTTAGAATATCGTATCGGATCCACTTACTGCCAGAGTGCACTTCGCTAGTCTACGAACTTGTCCTCATCATTTCGCTCTGCAGAACGCGCGGTTCTCCGCCCGAGGGAAGATTTGAGAAGAGTTTGGGATTATTACAGAGTCCACTTGAAAAATTTGTTTACATATTTTTTTTTTTAATTGATGTTACTGACCTGGAGGATAAAACTGAAACACAACGCCTTGTTTCCTTGTTCCATGCACAATAAGGATCAGAAGCAGATATACAGGACCTGAAATACGATGATGGTGTCACAAATACAGTAACTACTCTACACGAATAGTTAAGCCATAGCTAATGGAGGAAACTCATCAGGAAAGAGAGAAAAAATCTAAGTGGGAGCTTCTAGTTAAAAATTTATGGAATGCTAGTGAACGATGTACACGGTCATATCTGAAAAAACCGCCACAAAAACATGTCGCAAAGAAAGGTTTCCTGAGCACCTTTCTTGACTCAGGGTTAAGCCTTCTTCGCCTCTCCCCATTCCCCTCATTTCCCTCCTCCCTATTTCGATAAACTTTCGATAAGTTTCCGATAGTTTACTTGTCCAGTTAAAAACAGACAGACTTCCGTCAAAAGGTCGAAGGTTAACCAAGAGTTTTCTTGCCTTCAAGTTTTTAAGGAAGAACAGCACGAAGATTGAGGCCTAAGCGAGTACCCAGCAGTTGCACTGAGTTTTCTTTTACCCTGTTTCAAATTCTCTGAAACTGCCAGAACCTATTCCTTTTTCTTGTTTTAGTTTTACCCGTACCACTCACCTGCGGTGTGTGTGACTACCACACTGCTCTAGCCTCAACTTTGTAAGAGCTGTGTCTGAGCCGAAGTACAGGATATGCTGTAGATAAAACAAAAAATACGACGTTGAACAACTAATCACAGACCAAAATACAACGATGAACAACCAATCACAGACCTCTAGGACGACACTTTGACTACTCAGTTGAAATTCACATTTACTAGTTATTATGAGACATTATCTTACCTGTTTTGGATCAATCGTCATAGCTTTTATGACTTCTTGTCTGTTGATCTAAAACAAATAAAGAATTTGTCCATTTCAGATTTATCAAACCTTGATTTTCGACTTGCAGGTAGTCACATTGAAGTCACTTCAGTATTTTCTAGAAATTGATTCCAGTCCCTCAGTAACAGCTACTGACGACTTGACAATCTCAGTGAAGGCAGAAGTCACCTCGACGCTGATGATGACTTCCGCTCATGTTGTTGATCGAAACGCCAGCCACTACCACCGACAACAGTTCTCTTCAAAGAAGACCGATCGACCTTAAGAAATTATCATGGCAACAATACTTACCGGAAAAAGGTCGATTTCGGTGAGAAGGCAGGGTTGACGAGAGCCAGCAACTTGTGAAATTTTAAGCACAGATCCTCGGTCTACAAAAATAGATTTCATTATCTTTGAGCTAGCACTCTGCTACTTGTGCCGATGAGGCTAGAGGCAGTTTAGTAGGATTGAAGTTCTCCGAGAAAACGCATTGTGCTTGGGCAAGAGAACTCCTGCTATCGCCCTTGCCAATCAAATGCAGGTTATTTGTTACCTGGGTATTTACCATGAATTCTTAATAGTTACGTGATTGGCCGAAATGATTGCTTTCTTTTTGGTTTGAACACACCCAAATCAGAAAGCGATTTATTGGATATTACAACCTCGGATTTAAGAAGTAGTGCAACTCTATCTCGCAATACCAGGTGCCAAGTATGTTGAATTTACCTGTTGATGTGTATACAACAGTGTGTTCACCAACTTTGTCCAGAACAATGGCTGTCATCCTACCGCAAAAAAAAATTCTCCATGAGTAATAATCAGCGACTGTTAAGGACACGTTCAGTCACTATCTAAGGTAGTCAATTTTTCTACGCAACGATAATCCTTACAAAGGTAATTGTAACGATAGTCAACGATGCACTGGTATCCAATTTTCATCTTTTAGCTTTAAAAACTTTTCAGGAAAAAATTTTGTTTTTCTCCAATGACTTTAACTGAGTTTTGTACAGGAGCAAGTGGATTACCCAGCATTCATAGTACTTCGCACAAATTCCTTCACTGGATAATGTTGACAGTTAACATTTATTGGAAGACAAGAAAAATGAAAATTTTAGGGGCTTATGCTTTCCTTTTCATTTATTTTCCTCACTTCCCAGGGGCTTCTATTAGATGACAACATATGTGAAAACGTGAGAGTGACAATGATACTAATGACGTTAATAATGATGATAATAATAATACCAATAATACCAATAATACCAATAATAATAATAATAATAATAATAATAATAATAGTAATTTCGTACCTATAAAGCGCTTCTAATTATGCTACATCAAAAGCACTTTACAGTACCACTACATTAAAATGTTGTGAAATTGGAATAAAAAAAGTAAAATGTTTCACACGGAAAGGAAATAAAGATCCTCGAGTATCGAGTCACGGTACATTCGTGAACAAACCTGATCCCATCTTTGACAAACCAGGCCTTGTTTCCTTGCTTTTGAACCGAGTCGAGGCTGGTGGGTTGCACTGGATCATGCATGAGAGGATCGTGCGAGAGGTTTTTATACACGTCATAAAGCATGTTCTTTGTTCCCATCATACCGTCTGGGACTGGACGGGGGTTAGGAATTAAGTACTTCTCGTTTACTTTGCACTGAAGAAAATAAATATTTACAGCATAGTTAATTATTAAGTTGTGAGTGTGGTGGGTGAGTTAATTAGTAACTTGTGGGTGTTTTAAGGACGAAAGTCTCAGGGGGTACAATGCGATGGTGGTCCAGGCAGTGGAGATACCCATAAGGCTCTCCCTTGTTCCACTTCGGGCCTTATGTCATTGCCTTGTGATGTGGTGGCAGCTGCATGTAGCCTATGCTTGCTTGCTCAGCTTTGCTCTGCTTAGCTCACTCTGCTTGCTTGTGGTGCTGTGTGTAGTTGCTGCCTGGCATAAGTTCTGACATCAGCGGGGCATCCCTGTGGTGTTAGTCCCCTGGCTTGGCATAGCCTCTTTCACCTCAAGACCGATTGTGCATGGTTTCCTACCACATCCTCCCAGAGGTGACCTATAGTAACTGGCCAATGGGTATCTCATACAGGGAAAAAAAACAAAGACCAGAGACAACAAGTCTCAAGTTAGCACGCTGGAATATCCGCACAATGCAAGACTCTGACAAAGCTGACCAACCACAAGGATGCTCAGCACTGGTGAAAGAAGAACTAGCCTGACTGGACATTGACATTGCTGCTCTCTGCAGGGTGCGCTTTGCAAAACAAGGGTCAATCAAGGAGCATGGCGCAGGATACACCTTGTACTGGTCTGACATAAGCAGGGAGGATCATCGCCTTTCCAGAGAAGGCTTCATGTTGAAGAACACGCTGGCCAGCAAGCTGACCAGCCTCCCCCTAGGACACTCAGATCGCCTCAAGCCCTTCCACCTTACCCTCCAAGGCAATCAATTCACCACCATCATCAGTGTGTATGCTCCCACACTCATAGCAGACCCTGCGACCAAAGAGGCCTTCTAAAGCAACTTAAGGTCCCTCCTCTGAAAAGTAGACAGCGGGGACAAGCTCATCATCACGGGCAACTTTAACACAAGAGTGGGACAAGACTACACAGTATGGCCAAGAGTTCTGGGATGCCATGTATTTGGTTACTGCAACGCCAACGAGTGCATGCTGCTGGAGCTGTGTGCAGAACAGGGACTACAGGCTGATGTTGACTACAAAGACTGGCAGATGCTTGCACCAAACAGGGTTGAATGGAGGTTAACCTCCAAATACGCAACTCAGCAGTTGGAGGACTCCATAGTGAACACTGCTAAGGAGAAATGCAAGCGTCGAAAGGAGTTGGCCAATCAAACAACACCCCGCAGCAATCAGACCTTCCCCTACCCCAACCATGTCAAAAATGTGTAAATCTTTCTTCTCACTGATCTTTGGAACGTGAGGAATCTGCCCATCACCATCATCAATTAGTAAGTTGTGTTAGTATCTTTACTTATGAAGAGTGGGAGTAACCAAACACGAGAGAGGGCGGGGAGACTTGGTTTAACACTTATTTCTCTACTATAATTATCAGAAGAGTCTCCCAAGAGACCCATGGCCCTTGAATAGGAACATGACTTCAGTTATTTGGGAGTACGGGTTACGATACTTTTTTCCCCCTTTTACAACAGTGGGTTGCCTGTGGTATACCTTACCCCGTCAAAATACTCTTTGAATTTGTTCTCCACCGTCACCCACTTTCCATTTCCTGCCTCTCTACTATCGAAAAGACTCGTGTAAAAAACATCATTGACATCCGCCAAATTGTACACACATATGGCTGATGATGGCGGGCCATTGCTGGAAAAAGAAGTGAAAGAAAATTCCAATGGGTATTACCAGAGATTAAATAAACTAGCTTGCAGTAATTTACTAGGTAATTCATTTCCCTCAATGTTTTTGTTATTTTTCGTTTTTTTTTTCTTCTTGGGGAGAGGGAAGTGTCATTATTTGCGAATTCCCAAATGCAAGCTCTAGATTTGCAATTTGCAACTTGGAAAGCAATCCTTTACTGACCTACAAAGTTAACCCTCTGACCTGTAAGAATGATTCGCATTCAGTTTCTCATTTTTTACCCCTGAATCACACATTGAGGTCATGCGAGTAAAGGAAATGATCCAAACTAAAGAGGTCCACACCCAAAGAAAAAACACTTTCAATTTTTTCCAATTCTATTTATCTGCACCTTTTTCTTAATTTAATTCTTGTATTTCCTTCAACAATAGCTACCCAAGAGCAGAATGGAACTTATGAAATACTTACGGATGAGAGGTGAAAATTGCATGAAACAGGTTGGTTTCTGAATCCCACCAAACATCCTCTGCCAAAGAAATAACATAACAAAGTCAGTTTTCTTTGCTGTATTACACCACAGCAAAGGCCTAAATTATTTCCTCATGAGTCAATACATATTTTGTACTGTGTTAACCCTTTGACCTCTTAGAGTGACTAGCATCTAATTTCTCTTGACAACATCATGCCCAAATCATACATTGAGATCATAAGAATAAAGGAAATGATCACCAATTAAAAGAAGCTCTTGATTGTTAAACTCATTCTTCTTGTCAGCACCTTAGGCAATCTACAGCATAGAGTACAGTTTGGAGAATATGCTATCTAATATTAGGGTACAATGGGTTAGGTCAATCTAAATGGCACATAAATATCATCCCCTGGTTGCCTTACCATCAAGTTTCCTTCTCAGCATTATATAATAATAAGCCATATTTAATACTAAAAGTCACTTACGAATTTCATTGAAATAAACTGGATATTCTCCTCCATCAGAACAAACAAGTTTGGCCTTCTGATAAGTTATAAAGTACTTTCTGAGGTTAGACAGACCAGCATAGTCACCCTATAGAGAGAGAGAAATTTCTCATGATGAAGAACATCAATAAAACATACTTAACCCTTTAACTCCCAGAAGTGATTAACACGAAACTTCTCCCAATAATATCCATACAGTATCCAGCAAAGGGCAAATGAGAATACCCAAACTTATCCAGCAGAAGTTGTTATCTTGATCTTATACCAAATTTGCCTAGCTGGTTTGCCAGGAATTGTGTAAAAGCTTGAGGGGAAAATTAACAATCAGATCTTGGGAGTTCACAAGTAATGACTGAGTATAGTTTGGACAGAGGGGAAAATGCTTGATTCTTAATCGTGACATGTGCCTAAAGTGTTTATTGGTGAGTCAGACCTGCCCTGACTCACCAATAAAGCACTTTATCATATGACCACTGCTCTTTCTATTTAAACCTTTTTTTCCTTGCATTTTATCATCTTGCATCTTGAAGGGCCTTATGCTGAGCCACCCAACTTTCTCCAGCTCTGTTTTATGTTTTTGAATGAAAGCCCACACAGGGCAGTACAGGTCATATCGTTATATCTAATCAATGTTATTTGTCATTTATCTAGCATGCTTCAATTTATTAGCTGCCATACTACAGCAATTCATTTTTTCAAAACTAACTATCAGATTTTACTTCCCAGATCCTTGGTACAGATATGTTATAATTATGAAAAAAAAGCTTCCTTGTACCTTACATATACGTGCTACCCTGGAGACTTTATATTTTCCACAGCTCTTACATTCCATTGTCCGCTCGCGAAAAAAGATGTACACATATTTCCCAATGATGAAACTCTTGACGAAATGTACATCTACATGAATAAAAGTTTAAAAAGATTAAGTGCTGAAAATGTCCTAAAATGCTGGAAGAACAATTACGTCTAACTATATGCAAATTGTTCAGCATCACATTCTTGGCCAAGCTACTGAAAGCACTCATTGTGCAAATAGCACTTATCTAGATTTCAATGCCAAGAAAACAAATATCTTCTGAATCCAGACCATCATTAACACATAAGGAGGGTCTTCACCAGACCATGGAGGGCATGCAAATGTAAACAAATAGAACTGCATTTGCAGCAACCCTATGCAACTACTCCTGGCATTATTTATTGACACTAATTATTCCCACATAAATATTGATCAAACTTACCAGAGTAAAAGTCACTTTCAGACGTAAAATCAGTGGACACTTCACTGATTCTGGGCTTAAAACTTTTACCATGAATCATGGATATTCTTGTTCCCAAGTTTATTGTTCCTGTGAAGACTCTCCCATTTTCTGTAAAACCCAAACAAAGCAGAAAACTTAAAAGTTAAGAATCAGGTGTTTTTAACTACCTTGTCTCAAATTATACACAACTCACATACCTTTTGTGTTGTTCCAGATACAGAACCAAATTATTACATTACTTAACTCTTTAAGCCTGAAGATTTGATTGTTAATTCTCCCCTCCAGCTACTACCTGTACTATCTCCTTGCAAATTAATAACAAGAATTTGGTGTTTGATCAAGATAACTATTTCTATTTCAGGGTTAACAGTGACTCTTCTGAGACAGACTATTCAGTGTCAGTTACATAAGATGCATTACAGAAGAGAATGGAAAATGAAAGAACCAGAATATAGCTCTGTAGTGCAGGTAAAAAAACCAGAACCTTAGCTAAGGTCCATTTCCCTGCAGTATTCACCATTACTAACACAGCACACAGTCTTTGTGTTCAATTTTAGTTTTAAATCTCTACAACAATAGCAACCACTTCACAAGGGCAACAAGATGAAAACACATCTTTACTGCCAAATTCATTTTGTCATTAATCTTTTTGCTGTTCTCTGATTGTAGGTTTGTTGTCGTAGATACTTGTACTACTAATTTTTTGGTTATTGAAATTTTCAAGCATAAATTGTAACCTAGTTTGAAACAAACTGATATTTACACCTTGCTTGTCAGGCTTCGGTTGTTAGAAGGCTTGATAACACTGTCCACTGCATAAATCTCTCTCCAGTGATTAGCCAAGAACATTTTTTTTTACCCATTGTGCACTGGACAGTGATTTATACAATGGAAAACAATATTATTTTAAAATTTGTCACATCCTTTCTTGAATGCACACTTAATTTGCATACCCAAAAAGCATTAACCTTCCTGAGGATTTCTCATGATCTATTACGTGTAATGGGAATTCACCCAAATAAAGCGATCTTAACACAAACCTGTTATAACACCCGTGTCATTTTGACTTGGTGTGCTATAATAATTTTCATCAGCTATAAACACATTCTGATTACTATCTCTGCCTGGAGCTGCATTCAAATTCGTCCTCTGAAAACAATAGAGAGACTAGTGAGTGTTTTAGAGCAGAAATTCTTGAGAAAAAAGCTTCAACTACCATTAAAATGAGCACATTTCTACTGTAAGAGAAGAAAATCCAGATGTAAATCCAAACAATCTGATTGGTTTTTACTTCGCTGTCTTGGTCTGTATTTTGCCATAGCAACTGTTTCCATGTAAACAGTCATAAGCCGTGTATTTTTGGTAGCAAAGGCTGGCAAATTCAAATTAATCAAGTTTGGCCTGGGTGCCATACAATAAACAACTTGATAACCTTGTTTGCTTGAGCTATACTAGGGTTTATTAGCCATTGGTCTGCACTGCCACAACCTCACGTCAATATTCCCCAGTACAACCCTTGGGCTCATTAAGTAAGACATTAGTCTTCACCTCCCACTTGAAACATCGTTTTTTTATAACTTCATGCAAGACACTTCTTTCCCATGTTATTTCCAACCCTTCATATAACTCTGATTTTTTTAAAAGCTTGGTCCCTAAATATTGACTTGCTAGTTTTAAATGTTTTTATCCCAATCTGGACCTTAACTTATGGAGGCCAAGGCATCAAAATTATAATAAACTTGATTGGCAGGAGATAGAGGTCTCACGATATTCCTGCTTTTCAGGGAACTGAGAACCTACTCTCAAGTTCCTTTTTATCTGGATTCAATAAGATGGTACATAATTACTTACATTTCTCCAGATACAGCCCCTTGTCAGACAGATAAATATCCTCTCCTCAAATGGCAGCATTAACTTCACATAGTTATGGCATGAAGGATCCTGCAATCAAGATGTGATAGACAACACTTAATAACAGCACTCAATCAGAAAAATATATCTGGGATAATTTACATAACTGACTAATTTACATGGGGGCATGGACCCTCAGGGGGTGGAGGAGTGTGTCAAAAAAAGACTCCATGGAAAATAAAAGAAAGCTTGTCATCTCATGCACAATACAGATCTCACATTATGGTCCTTTGAGGGAGGATTCACAAAGAAATTTTAAAAAAAGAGAACATTACAGATTTTGGAATGTTTACTTGTAAGTGTTTTGAGGAACATAGATGAGAGGCTATACTTTGTAGTTTCATTACAAGACAGCTTACATTTCCTAGATTACTAAACCCCTCCCTCGGCTTCCTCCTACCCAGTCTGTTAAAATTCTGGGGCCCATCTCTTTGCCAGGGAAATTTGGTGAATTCTGAAAAGCCATATCATAAATTGCATCACATTTCAATTAAAAAGAGTCGGTGTTAACTTAAAGGTAATCAACCACAAAGCTCACAAAATGTGTATGCATTGTATAGCAATTTATCATTTGAAGCTGTATAATTACCTGTCCTTTATCACATCCAAGGCTTTGGGTGGTCAAATCCCAAGACTAAATGAGATAAACAAATCTAGTCATTAGTACTCATTAAAAACACACCAAGTTTAACATTAATCTAAGAACAGCCATCTCAAAACAGTACTGCCAAAATTAGCCCTTACTTCAACACTATTTATGTTTCCCAGATCCACTAGGAGTGCATTGTCTCTGCAAAACATAACATTAAATAAATGCAATATCTGCTTCAAGATGTCTACAAAACAGTAAAACATCAGAAAATGAATCTTAAATAATCAGGTCATTATGGCACCATGAAAAAAATTTTTAGCCTAATAACTCACCTTGCTCCCACGAGTAAGTGATTATACTTGATGTCAACTGACAATACTGAGTAGTTTCCAATCTTTATTCCTCCTGTTTTCAGTGTCTCCAGGTGGGGCCTGATATCTGGGAAGGTAACAGAATTAATTGACAAAACTTTGGTTCCTTTGTTCCTTACATAACCAGAAATCGAAAGCAAACATTATGGTGAGTGCAGAGTCTTGCTTCTTCACTCTTAAACTTGCAAGATCTCATACTTAACAAATCTTCTTGCTGTTATGTGTGAAACCTATATTTCCTTTACAGTTCATTCAAAAAGCTTTCACCCAATCACCCCCAAAGTGATCATAGAATAATTTCTCCTTGCAGTTATCAATACATTGACAAGAATAAAGATAATAAAATGAAAAAAGTAATCTCAGGGATATTGCTTGATTCAACACCAAATCCTCAGAACTTAAATCATAAAAAAATGCTTGGCAAATAGAGATGAGAATTGATAATAAGATCTTGGGAGTGAAAGGTTTCGGTATTCTTATGTCAGTGCAACAACCTCCAGCTGATAATTTTGTCTATTTCCATTGATTGTGTACTGGAAAATGCAAGGATTTTATTCATCAGGGGTTGCTGAATTCTCTACAAAAAAATTGCAATTCCCTTCCCTATCTTAACTTCAGATGTAAAGAACATTATCCTCTCAATCTAAACACTCCTTCAGCATTCTTTAAACCCGATTATGCATTGAAACAGTGAATTTACATGTTCGTCACTTCTAAGGAATTTAGGAGTTGAGTCATCTGTGTAGCCTAGGCCACAAAGGGGGCAAAAAAATTATCCCAGGAAACTACATGCCGTCAACAATGGCCTCCATATTTTTAAAACCTACATACACAAGCTAAGAATATCACAGGTTTCAAATCAAAAATCACACCATAAATAGTTGATGTGTATCAGATAAACCATTACCTAGGGAAAGGTATTAGCTATAATCAAATATTTTTAAGCCATAACTAGGAAATAGATCATCTGCTTTTAATAGTTTTTAGTTCTACGATAAATAAGATCTGATATGTTAATCCTATTTTATTTCTAAGAAGTCAAGATTTTAGAAAAGCTTGTGAATTAAGAGGCAAGGAAAAAATTCCTTCTTTAATTAATGACTTGGTCATCAAGGTGGACTTCAGATATCAGAGATACATTTCTGCAAATCTCAACATGTCATAGCTATTTTCATTATGATAAATTTATGAAATTGTAAGAAAAGTAACTTGTATCAATATTGTAGATTAGACTCCTGTTAGGCATGGAATGGATTTCTTGTCACAAAGTATTGTTGTGGCATATAATGAAAAGTATGACTGTCCAAGTTTAATGCTGTTGGCTAAAAGAGGAGCACTAAGGAGTCTCATCTTATCATAATGAGGATCTGCCAAAGCTTTAACACCAAAGAACAGTCCTAAGACCAATACAATTAGTTCCTGTCCTATTTTACTTGACATGAAAGAAACTAAACAGCTAATTGATTCTTATTTCACTGGCAGAACAAACACTTTTAATTAAGAAGTACAGTTTAAAGTCCCACAAAATCACTTCACCCAAACAATAACAGAATCTAAATTTGTAGAATGCAATAAATGTTGAGACAACAGTGATCCTTGTTCATTTACAAATCACCAAATTCATCTTGTTTATGGAATCACAGCCAAATAAACAACACATTTTAGAGTTTGTTTGTGTGAACATATCTGTGCGGTAATTTTTTTGATCTCCAATCAGCCAATCTGTCAGTTTAATGTAACTGAATTCCTTAATTTAGCACTAATTACCTTTGCAATGCAAGATAACAAATGGACAGACATTTTGGCTTCAAGACTATCAAAAATTAGTTTCCCTCATGTTGCAACAAGTAAACGAGTTTCTTTTCACATTAAGAGTAAGTTCTTTGTAAAATACTTTAGGTCACTCATCTTATAAATATGCAAAATACCAGTTCGGTATTAACAAATCAGGATGTATTAAAACGTAATTTAATTATAGCATGCAAACTACGTGATTGTGTTATAATCAGCTTGTAAGGTAACTGATACATTTGGAACCTCTTGGCCGTCAGGCAAACCACTTACATATGTCTCATATAAGATTGTTTCACAAAGGAGGGTGTATTCCTAATCCAAAGTGGAATGAGACTTGATAACAATAGTACAAAATGTCATCAAGTGCATTATCTTTACTACTGTATATCCAACCAAATTCCCACTTGGATATTTCTACCTGAAATTTTAAAATGTCAAGGAGATCTAGGGGTTACTACTATTCGGTCTATTTAGATCTTTAGGATGATGAAATGTAAATCAAAGCTTTGAAACCTCAATATCTCTGAGGAATTTAAATAGACTTTGGCACAGTGAGGTCTTTATAAAGTAGACTTGATATTAGGCAAACACAACCTTCATTAACTCCTTAACTCCCAGGATCTAAGAATCAAGTCTCAACTCCATCTGTTGCCCATTTCTATTTATTTTAACTTTGAGAAATTCATGTCCAACCAAACATTATCCCCTAATGGATACTTTTCTAACTTCTTGCAACCTTTCTGCATGAAAATGTATTGATATCACTGGGAGACATTTTTTTCCCTCACTCACAAGGGTGAGAGAGTTCAACAGACATTAAACATACTCCAATTTTGTCTTAGTTCCCACATTTAAAGTTAAAACTCCCTTTAAGCGATCTTTTTAGTAACAAATATAACTTGCACAAGAATAGACTCACAACATTTGATTTAAATAATTAATTAGCCAATGGTGCTTATCATGGAAACTCCAACAGACCAAACAGTTAAGGTTGGCATTATTGCATATTACCATACCCTGTATGAAGGAAACAGAGGCATGGGTCTCAAGAGTAATGAATCAAAACAGCTTTGATTGTTCTACACAGAAAAAGTTAAGGAAAACAGCACCTCAAAGGAAAAATTCACATTTCATTTACAGATGCCAGTCTAGTAACTAAAAATACTTGTCATTTCAAAATTTCTCTGATCACCCCTGACATTGATATATATATTTTTAGGAACCATCTCCTGCTCCAGAACACAGCTATTGACGACTCCAAATTTGTTATTTCAAAAACTAAAACACTTTGTTGTCTTGAATCAAGACATTTCCCATGAAAATTATGTTTGATTGAATAGATCCTATGCAAGTATATTCAATTTGTTATAAAGACCAAAAGCAAAATAATTCGATCAGATAAACATTGATTAGTTTTGCCTTAGGGTAAAAGGCAATTTTTTCATTAACTAGACCATGAAATCAAAATGGGTGGAAATGATTTCCATTATATCTGGAAAGAGCCTTTTTAGTTAGCAGAACATTAATCAATAACTGACAGCGGTACACCAAATTAGTAAGTGGCAAGCTCATTATCTGCCAAAATCCTAGACTACCAAGACAAAGAGATGAAATTTTGCAAAAAAAAAAAAAATTACAAACTCTTGTCCTTAGCTTTATTGATACCTTAATCATGTTTTGGTTGTATCCCAGTCACCCTTTAACATCAAGATTGGAAACAAACTTCTTTCAATGATATTTAAAACACTGAATCAAACTCCAGTCATTATATTATCATCTGGAGAGGCTCTTCAACATAGAGACAGTTGAACCCCCAAATATCACTGAGCCTTTGTGTTTCCTTAATTTTGCCTGCAGCTAAGTAGACAAATTTGACCATATCCCATTTTCATTCAATTTGATTTCAATAACAAGTACAATTTCTCAGTGGTCTGGAAGGAACTCATTCACAATAGATGTTTGTTTAAATTGTTCTTTTACAATTCTACTAATGAGAGGGTCATGGCACACTTTTGTATGCAACACAACACACTCCTAACCCAATATCAAACAAAGCCAACCATTGTGCACAAGTCAATTTAACCAAAATCCGACCATTAAGCACAAACCATTTTTTAAGCCAATGCTACCATACAAAACAAAGGCATCAGTGTTTGTGCAAGGCTGAAGTAATCAACAACACTAGAGCCCTTTTCAATATCATAGCACAGTTCATAGTAGAGAACATTTGGCAAAAATTGTTATTATTTCACACCATGTTTGTTGATATTTTTAAAAAAAAGTTAGCAAATAAGTTCCTTGATTTTCTTGTTGTGGGTATCTCTTCTAAAATTCTCAGAGATATGTAAGGAGAAACAATATTTGAAATTAATAGACTTGCCTAGGAACAACCCAGTCCTTTGGATAATCATCTTCCCCATTCCCTGGATTGAAATTTTAATGCAGCCTGTATTACCCAAAATCTGACCCTTTACATCTAAAAATACACATGTAGTTCCATCTCTGTGTTTTATCAACATTTAAAGACAACGCATGGCGTTAAGCTGTGTTATTTTAACCTATCCAATAAAACAAGTGCAATAACTTTGAAAAATGCAATTGCTCATTACAATTTAATTGTTGCTCAATTTTATTCCAATCAAAGCTGAGAAATATTCTGATCAATTAGGTGAACTCATAAAATAAGGAAAGCCTCCGCGTTGGTTGCAATGTAATTTTTGTTAAGCTTCCTTTGTTTACTTTACAACTGTGCTAATGAAATGCCGATGAAAAGATAATTGATACCAGACTACAAGCTCCAATGCTTCTGCGTCTAAAATTTCACTCCAGTGTAAATACAACAAAGTGTACCTTCAGAGGAGGAAAAGTCGCGCCAAAAAACAGTACATATACAGGCTTATTCCGCATGAAATTGCATAGTATATGACGAAGTCTCAAACTATTCAATCAACTTGAAACAAAAGATGTTTTACCGCCACTCACAAAACATACAATACATATGCATTTACTACAGTGCATCTATTTACAACCTGGTGTTTTAAATCCTCATATGGTTTGTAAAGCAAATAGCACTGATCCTCCCAGAAGGGGTATACGCATTGAGGTATTTCGTGTTTTTCCCTTTCGTGCAGCCGTTTGCATTAGTAGTGGGTAGCAATATCTGATAGCTAAGTAAACTTTATCAACCAAGTTTCACCTGCTTCCCGACGCAAAATATTGTTAACAGCCAAAACATTGAATAATTTTGAAGCGCCATATTGATTTTTGTACAAATTAATTATGCAGTGATGCAAGGACCAAGCAAAAACGCTCTTTAATGTCGAAGAATTTCAATATCTTCAAACTGATTTAAAATTAGTTTGTGTAAACTATGAGATTCCCTCCGGCTGGGATGGTTTATTGTAGAAATACACTGTTCAAGAGTGTATGAAGTTTCCAAAACAACCCTCTTAAGAGGCCTTCCTAAGTCATCATTGAAAACACCGTGACAATACAACGCCAAAATAATGAAAACTGACAGAAATTTCTCCGTACGTGAAAGCAGAATCTTGCGCTAGCGTGATTTTCATTCAACAACTCGCATGTAGTTTCATGATAGTACGGGTACGGGTCGTCTGTGCACGAGTAGAGAACATACCTTCAAATTGTGTTCTTGAGTGCGGTTCTCTGTTGGACGCCACCACAATGCATCCAGATAATATTGCGAAATATCTCAGAAGTAGCATATACAGCCCGTTCCGTTGCTTCATTTCTTACAGTTGGGCTGCAAATTGATCAGACGATAGATTTGAGAACCATCAAAAACCGTCACAATGGCTACATTAGATACATGAGAAGTAGTGGATAGTAGTGTTACAAGACTAGACGCACGATGCGATATCGTACTCAGATTTCATAAAACAAACCACATTGTTTGCAGATAAAATAATTCTGCGTAAATTTTAACGTAACAAACACGACAGGACCGTTTTCACGTAAAAATATTGTTGACCTCGATGGAAAACTTACATTCTACGCACTAAGTGTCGCTCAAAGTTAGAACAAAAGGTAGTAGTTCACTGAAATATAATACTACCAAGATAATTTGCCCTGTTAACTACAAAGCGTTCTTGACTCCTGGATTATCACGCATTGTGCTAAAAGTTTCGCCTTCTTGTTGAAATAAGCCCTGAAACTGTCAAGATGGTTGGACGCACCGACCGTTAATCGTATACAGGAATGTAGTTGGAGTGACTGCAACAATCGATCGACACAAACGGAGTCCATATACGGACAAATAAATTACGATGGTTTCACAGTTGTATTTATACTCACTAAAACACTGTTGCTGAAATCCTTAATCAAACCAATTATGCACTTCGACTTTTCACAGATTGTGTTTCTCCTATGAATTCTCAACGACAAACTTTGAGTGTGTTGAGCCAAAATGAAGCCAGAAGAAGACTTGCTTAGATATTCCGGCAAATTTCGCGTTTAACATCGATGAATTCGATCACCCAGGCAATTAAAACTTCTTAAGGATAGACTGAAATATTCAATACTCGAGAACGTAGACGTTTGGTCTCGGTTTTCGACTAGAAGCTCACTGGTTCTTCTTATGCATTTAGGTATGTTGACAAATGAAACACTTTAGCAACGCCATGTTCCATTGGTGGAGACGATCAATACTCGAGTGCTAAATTCATTCGTCGTCATTTGCATTTGAACCTTTTTGCCGCCCATTCGATGAGTGAAATGAACGGTGACATCACGCATTGTTTAAGATTAAGCGATGAAAACTACGCAATAGCTCGTAAAAATTCAATTTAAACTTGACATATGCCGTAACACTAAGAGCTAGAACCCACACAAATGTAAAATTACCATAATATAATCGCATCTGGCGCTTCGTACCTTAAGATCTTTCTTGTCCTGTACGTTTGAATATTTATTAAAAGAATCTATTCTTTCCCACACCAAAGTACTAATTACAGGCTTTCCGAAATAAAGTGGATACCACAATAAACCGCAAGTGATGATTGTATTCTAAAAAACTTCAACTGTGGGCTTACCTCTTCCCGTGCAAGTTTACCACTTCCTTTGTGTTCAGTTGCCAAGCTGTTCTTCTTGGTCTGACGTCGTGGGTAAGCTTTCCAAAAACAAAAACAAAGCATTAAGACTCAAAATTCAATTTGGCCTTCTCTTTGTCTTACTTCTGTGTAAAATTCGCTTTCGAAAATTGTATCAGCAGTTACACAGCAAACCGCCTCGCCATAATCATAGACTTGTTACGTCACGTACGCACTTGAATACATGATAGGTATTTATGCGTCTGATCCAAAAAGGTTTATAATTGCGGGGGAACTCACAAACAATTACGGCAGCTGCTTCTTTTCCACACACAGCGCATTAAACTAATATTCAGCGGACTGCATTCCTCTTGGCTGATACCCTTTCAACGTTTTTCAATCAAATGCACTTCGCCTTACTTCGGAAATCTGGTTTTCATTCACACTCGTTGGATTAGGCTACAGTCATGGTGGCAGGGGTCGCAGTTTAAGTCCACTTACTTGATGTCTGCTACTGGCCAATGCTCCTACAAAATTCAAACTGTGCAGTTCAAATCTTTTCAATTCTCCTGCGAAGACAAATGCATAAATTCTCTATGAAAATCTTTATTCTTGCCATCTGTCGGCGTGCTTCGACACCGTATACCACACGATTAGCGGGTGGAGAACAAAAGACCTCCTTCCGCCTCCATAAAATTACCCAACGTGATCACTAACCATAACCCAACGAGTTGCTTTTGTGAGTCAAATGAGAGCTAATCAACTAGTAAACGCAACAAAAGCCGTAAAAAAATTCTACTAGAACAATTCACCTTTCGAATTCGTCGCGTGGAGCAATCAATCAAGCCCGTTCCAGGTCTCCGCGCGTTTTTTATGTCATATAGCACGTCAACAAACAACAGTGTTTTATCGAATATCGATAACGATCTTGTTTCATCGGGTAAAAATGTCAATCAATTTAGTAGCACCTCAGTTCGCAAAGTCTCTCTGTGCGACGGCTGTTGAGGGGGCCCTCCATTATCTTCACCAATGGTAATAAAAGAAACTTTAATCCTGCTCAGGTCGCATGTTCACACACGACAATGAAGAACTGAATTAACTCACCGCCTGAAAGTCAGTGTATTTACTTTTAATTCTAAAGCTTTAATAAATCATTCACAAATGACACCCACAATCATTCAGAATATTTTCAAGGACGCCGACCACTGATGTTCTGTTCTATGTCATTCCTCGCTCATTTCGATTCTTTTCCGCATGAGCGAGACTTATCGTGGGGGTTCACTTGTTAGAACACTGATTGAATATCGCTCTTCAAAAACATTACTTTTTTGCTCCAAGAAGTACTCGATCTTTCGAAGATGTTAACAAAGTTGACGTACAATTTTCATCGCAATCTTAAAAAGGATTACCGGGCAATTAGTTGAAAATTTGTTCTTTACCGCACCCGAAACTCCTGTTTGTTCCGATTACGTTTGTTTGGTTTTGCTTTTTGTTAATTACTCCTAATTTCCTGCCTTTTAACTTCTGCAACACACAGATGCCAAATGGAATTCCTGATATTCTAAAAATAAGCAAAAGAAACTATTTAATGAGCGTAAAATAAACAAATATATTATGTGATTGTCGCTTGAAAACGAGGAACAATTGATCGGATGGAATTGCCACACTGACGTAAAATTTGAGCAAATACGTCATCAATGGTGGGTCTCGCAAAAATTTCTTGAAATTCCTTAATAAGCAAACGGTTCCCTTTTGTATTTCACGCCTAAGCCGTTGTTTCAAAGGATAATTTTCCTTAGGGCCTGATTAGGCAAAGAAACTAAACCTCAGTAAAAGTCTTAACGAAAACAAGACCAATATATTCTTAGGAGTTTGGAAACGGAAGTTGAAAAGAAATGACGTTAAAACATCAGAAAACGAAAAAAAGAAAAATGGAATTTCAGAGAAAGATCACAGCTAAAATTTCTCGTCAAAGGATGCCCAAGTCTAACAATGACTCATAACATGCAATGCACAAAACAAGAAGGAGCATGTGGAAGCAAGCACGTGCTAATGCATCTTTCAAGCACATGTACATTCTAGGGTTCCCAGAGCCATTCGAGAATTTTGAAGCCATCGGCGTAAACCATGTACAAGATTATTTCGGATGTCATTGACTGAATAAACTTCGACTCAATAAAAAGCCGCTGATCGGGAATATGGGATTCCCTCCCAAACAATGACTTCCACGAGCACGTACCTCGGTCCTCCTTAAGTCGCGGGAAGGAAAAAAGGCTGTGCTCGAGAAAACGCCGACTGGGAAGCCACGCCAAACTGAACTCTGAAAATGTCAGCTTATTTTCGGTGAAACTGGATTCAAGTTTTTCAGCATCTCAAGAAAAATCTTCCGACCTGCTAGCTGATATTACTCTAACTTAGAAGAAAGTCGTTGCTCCAGATCTGCCACTTACGTAACCGTCCCACGATCAATGCGAGACACGGTCAGTGTCCACTCTTGTGATGTAATACGTACATCCTGATTTATCAAAATTCGTGCCAACAAGAATAACTTCAAACAGATTTCCATGCACTCTTTTTTGTTATAGGGATATTTTTCCAGCAGAATATTGAGGCTGAAACTGGGCGATTACGTTCACAATATATGTAAAACTAAGGCTCCATTAAAATCATAAATTTCTGTTCGTTCTCTATTTTACACTCAAAGGATTTGGTAAACTCTCTCTTTTTTTCAGAAGAAATTAGCATGATTTATACCGTACCCAATTTTAATAAAAAAATGTATAAAATTTCCGCGATAGCAGGTCATTTAAAACGATCAAGAATCATGATTATGTAAGAAGTTTAATGGTGTCAATGATGATTAACCATAAATTTTTATTAATGTAGCAATGTAGCCAAGAATATTCAGTTTGGCTCGATGAAATCTATTCAAAATGATATCTAAAAGAGTTCATTGTTACATAAAAGAGTGTAAATAGGGCAATGGAAAAAAGTGCCTAGGTGCATTAGAAAATCTCGAAAAATAAAAAATAAATAGAGTGAAGTTCTAATAAACAGGGTCTTACGTATTGGCCTGTATTAGTCGAGGTGCATGTTACGGATGTATCCAATAACCTCTATAGTGAACATACCTCTCAATTACAATTGTTTTAAAAATGTTCTTTAGCTTCCCGTCGAGTTGCTGTGGAGAAGGAAATCAGAAAACTCTGTTTGAATGAAGCTTCCCCTATTTGCTTTTCATGGTTGTTTTGTCTGAGCGATGTGAGTTTTAATTTTTTTTTCTGCCCGGTTACCAATACTTACAGCCGATCAGATGACTATCACATTTTAACCGGTTTTAATCCTCCTTTTATGGCAAGATCTGACCTGTTGTATGATCTTCCATTCTACCCCGGCTGTTCCTCGTTTGTTTATAAATCAGTCAAGAGAATTTGTTATTTGATAAAGATACCTTCCATTCACTAATAATTTTGTGTATTCTCATGAACGTTCCACTGGATAATGTTTTAAAATTGTGAGGGGAACTTGCAACTTGATCGCTTCTGCTGACACTCGAAAGGGTTCAAAGAAGGAAATATCCACTAAAAAAAAAAACAGTTAGTGCGTGATGCCAAGATTTGATCGATAACCAATATGATACTCGTGCGTACACATGACTTACTCAGAAACAAACATTTCCAGGCTATTTTTAGTAAATTAATGTTAAATTGTTGTCAAGCTATCGTTATCGAAGATGGTGGAATTTCGATTGCAATACGCACGTCTACATTTAATCAAGTGCCTGACGAAGACCAACGTTGTGGCAGTCGACAGCCAGTTAAGCGCTGTGATGTTCAATTCATAGCTTGACCGTACAATTGAGGGTGACTTGGATTATAATATATTGTGAAACGAAACGAAACGAAACCAGGCGAGATATAACAAAACTAAAGGAATAATTCCTATATATTTTATAATAAGGTAAAAATAACTTTCACACGGATTTTGGAGTATCGTTAATTAACAATAACGATTTTTATTCATTTCGCAAGTGGTAATTTAAGAAGAGTTACTATTTTGCGAAATCGACTAAGTCCATTTCGCAAAATAGTATCTCACCAAAATAGTATCCCACCTAAAATTACTATTTCTTTTCGTTTCGCAAAATAGAATAAGCCGAGTGACTCTAAACATGAGGCATACGGTGAGTTATTCATTTCTAATCATCTCCACGAAAAACAAAAACATTTTCTATCGACAATTTTTTACGGTCGGTAATGAACTCCCTATGTTATGGGATTATAACTACTTACGACAAATTGCATTAAATTTTCTTAACTGGAGAATTAAAAAGAAATCCAATAGACTCCTCGAAGAAATATTAACCCTGACCAACACACTTAGTTTCCAATTGCAACAAATATCGACAGAGCGCAGAAAGAAATACCGTTGCCAGATCCGCTATCATTGGAGAGTGCACACGGGGTAATCTATCGTCTAGACTTATCTCTTGAAATGTGGTGTGTCAAGAAAAGCTGTGACCCTTTTCCTCCGATCCGCTCTCGAACCGACCGGTGCCAAGAAAAACAGAAACTATGTACCTTTCTTGATCAGCAGCCAAGGCGCGACTCTAAAGGGGTGAAAAGGCAACAAGGAATTTTCTTTCATACACTCAGCTGGAAAGATTAAACATAAATCAATTGAATTGGGTGTTAAAAGGGTACCTGGGATGAAAATGTAATTAAAATCAGGCGCCTTCACGGATAAATTCGTTTCTAAAGCTCGACATCTTACTGATCTCCTAACTAGACCAATCTCGTACCCAGATCCTACAGTGTACCTGAAATGGCCGTGGAAGGTCTGGGTAGGAGTTTCCCACGCGTTCTATTTCTGTTTGTCTGAAGTGATCGCATCAAAGCGATTCTTTGAAGCCTCCTGAGAAAAGCTGAATAATGAATATAGCTGAGATAAAAATAAAAAAAAAAAAGAAACGAAGCGTGCAATTTACGAAGTGGAACACGATTGTTCAGTATGGGATATTTCAATGAGCCTTGCGTGAGGTAAAATGCGGGAAAACAGTCTCGAGACCGCAAGAAAATCTCCATACATGTTTATCCTAGCTGTCAGTCAAATATCCCGACACCTTGGGAAAAACATTTTTATACTAAAATGGCGGTATGCTTAGTAAAAGTGCCACCAGACCAAGACATTATCTCTGTCCGAGTCCGACTTGGTCAATTACCAACGTCTAGTTTTTACAATTACGTTGTTGTTGTTGAATTAATACCATAATCAAATGCGAAAATATAGCCTGATTTGAACTTGTTAATGGACTATTAGCGTAAGGAAAACTGAGAAAAAGAAGCAAAACTTTGACTGCGAGAGACTGAATACATCTGCTCTGCTATGCAGCGATTCCACTTTCGTAAAATTATCATATGGACGAAAAGGAAGTAAACAATTCCGAGAAACGACAGATGGTCTAATGGCTAATGGGTTACTTTGGGAAACGGATTAATTACAGCCTTTTCACTCATTCTGACAGACGCTTATGAGTGAACTAGCCACTGAATGATGCAGTCTGTCATGAAGGAAAAAAGGTAAAACAAAATTGTGGTCTCGAAATTCTGAGAAAACAGAATCAGTAGACTTCTTCTTGACTTGGTATAAAAATATTAGTTTACAGCACGGCGCGAACGGGCGAAAGTGTGTGAAAAATGAGCATCGACTAGTGACATGCATACTAGTTGGCAAGGCAAATTTCTGGTCGATCAAAAATTAGTTGGAAGTAGAGGAAGATATACTATTTCAAGAAAGGACGGAGTTTTGAGAAATGACCAAGCTCAGAATGCACAAGTGAAGGCAAGCGAATGCTCAGAGTGCACGGGTGAAGGCAAGCGAATATGCACTTCAACGCCTGACAGACGGTTCGGTTCCAAATCGTTTGGTTCCAAATCCAAACCCTTTTAGCATTAAATTGCTTTATCACCTGCTAGACAAACAGAAGGAATCATTCCACTGCTGCCAGGGAATTAGATAACAGAGCCGCCCATGCTTAAATTCCCTGAAAACGGTATCAGCTGACTTCCTGTTTGGGCTATTAATCACTTTGTCGCTCCTTGTTTATATTCGCGGGCCGTTTGATTAAAAGGCAGTTAGTACTAAACCGGGGTTAAAAGGTTCTATAGCTTATGAAAAAGTGTAACATTTTCTCTCGTGTGTACATTAGGCTAAAATGCTAACATGGCTAACGTTTCGTTAGGCATCATACTAGTAAGACGAAAAACTTAACATCATAAAACATATACAGGGAAATTTCTACATTGTTAAGTAACTTAACGACCAGTTTACTCTTAACCTCGATGAGCTTACTTACGTTCTAAAAAACTCCTTCCTTATTGTACGGTGCTGCACAGCATCGAATGATGCGATCGAAATTAGTCATTTCGTTTTTAAAGCAATTTACAATGGATATAAAATGCCACTTAGCGAAAATGACTGGTTACCTTTTTTGGAAGACTGAATCACCGCTAAAAATTTCCGTTTCACTGCCCTCTTCCTTCGTCTTGGACTTAAAATGTTTCTATCTGTGCCATATAAACATCCTTAAGTAACCTAGACGTTTGTGCCCATAGTTGCAATTGGATGTGAGTGAAATTTAATCAAGGACAACTGGCCTTAAAAGTAGTTTCACGTTATAAGTTCTTTTGTTACCACAATGTAATTATAACTTTCTAGTGGACTCGTGAATCAAACGGGAAGTTTTACCAAACGAAGGCCATTTCGTGATACATACTTTGGTAGTTACAGGTGATATCCTCTGATGCTTACATTGGCAAAACTTGTGTGCACTTCTTATGCTCATAATTTAATATTTGCTCTTGAAAGTCATTGTGTTATCATAACTCTTCTCAGCTACTCACGAATGAAAACAAGGTGAGAACGAAAAATATATGTAAATTGTTGTTGCATAGGAGACTGTGTTTAGTTACGTGTATAATCCGGGAATCGAACCCGTTTATGGAAGATTCAGAGATCTCCTACAAGGTACTCACCGTGATCGATAATTTTTCTCAGTCGGTGGCGTACTGCAGAAATTTTAGAGTTCTTTTCGGTTGCACTTTCCTAAGCAATTAAGGGCGTTTCTTTGTACACACTTGTATATATGACATTCGAAATAGAAAGTGAAATGTAAATTTAGTCAGTTTCATCTCCACTCAGCAGGGTCGTGGCAATATCCTAAGTTTCCTTTCTTAGAAATTCCTGGATGAGAAGCTCCTTGACAACCCAGCCTTACTCAGATCTGATTCTCTTCCCTCATCTTCACCCGACCTTTCTCTTCCATCTCTATTTCCCAGAATATTTAATTGTTGCTACCTTAAAACTAAGTTCCATTTCAATTTTATTTAGTTAGTTGTGCCGTAATTTTAATTGATATGAAAACAACATTTACATGTTAATCGGTTCCTCTCGTTTATCAAATGAATAAGTTGGTGATATAAAAGCATCTTTTGAAAAAATATTTAATCAATACAATTGCCAAAGCTGTCTAAAACAGGTAATACATTTTTTTTAGTACAGGTATAAGTATCTTTTAAAAATAGCGTCTTATGCACAGGAAGCTGAGCCTGATTTGGTGTGTTTATCTGATATCCGATGACGTTCATGGTTACAGCTCAACACACTCGATGTATGACGCAGCAAAAATTGGCTGTCAATCACGCTAAAAGCATTACAGAAAAACACCTTAGAAAGACCTTGGAAAAACAATGAAGCTGGCACACCTACGGGATACAATGTCTCGTATATTGTCCTGTATTGTTTCGTGTAGCTTTCAAAAACAAACGACCCTTCGTCGCGATCTATTTACTTGCGAAGGTCGTCTATTTCTGGAGCAGAATATGTCTGTAGGTGGCCTATTGACAGAGACGTAAAGCGATAAAAAACCTGTTTGACACTGTTGAAGGTGGTTTCAATAATCACTTGCGCTGAAACAAGCAGAAGGTAAAAAACTTTGACAGTTTTCACCACAAAGATTACAAAGATTTGAAATCCTTATTCTGATCCGATATAAATGCGCTATTGAGTCGAGTTTAGCTTTGCCCTCGTGGCTTAGTCCTTACTTGGAATAATTACAGCAAAAAGTTTTCCTAGAATCGATGGCAAAGCTCCTAGTTTACCTCCGGCATTGAGCTTGAGAAGAAAAATTGTTTTGGTAAAATTACACTCTGAGTTGTTTTCCAATAGTTGCGTACTTCTTCCACTAACACTTCGAGAAAAGGCGCGGTGGCATATTCTGAAAAAAGGTATGACACAAAGCTGGATCAAATCGCAGTGATCACGCGATCAGTTATAGAAAATCAAAATGTGACGTGTATTTGACCAATAATCTCGTAGACCTTCGACAAAATCGCTTAGAAAATTATGCTAGGGGGAAAACGTCCCTTGCATGTTCCGTGATCCCGCCATGACAACACTCCCTCCTTTCTCCTGACCCTCTCAACTTCGATAAGATTTGGAAAAAAACCGTGGATCTCCTTTCTCAGCAAAAAACCGGTGTCAATTTGCGGACAGAAAAAACTCACCACATGAAGATTATTGATTAATTATCCCAGCTCACCGCGTGTCATTACTTTTAAACAGTTGGGAATGTTTTCTTTTGTTCAATTAAGCTGCTTACACCTTTGGCACAGCTCAATTTGAAACACAACGGAAGAAATTTCATAATTTAACACATTTGAAGTCAGTGAACGAGCAGCAATTTCCAATAAAAGTGTATACCATATAGCTATATTTTTTTTACAAAAAATTTCCAAATGAATGCCAGGTTTGCTGTCTACGACACACTTCACATGCTGTCTTCATTCTGGCACGACTGGCAACTAAATCTTTCAATATTTAAAACTTACCAAACATGGAAACATTTGACAACAGTTGTTGGACATCAGAGTCTTTTGTGTTCTGAATAGTCTTGACTACCAGACTTATGCCAAAATATGAAATCACGAGCGCGTTTTTTCCTAAAAAGCACGCTTGCCCGAGGGGTTTTTTTTTTCAAGAAAACCGATTAATTATTTATGATTTTCAAAGGAAAACATTAACGCTGCTGCTTCATTTCTCGCTTCTCTCTACTTCACTGTTCCCCAATCTAGACAGGATGTCAAAGGATCAGTGTGAAAATATAAAGCTTGACCTCAGAAATCTTCGAGTTATCGGTCGGTTCGGATAACATCGTGCGTATATTATCGTGCCATGTTAAGCAAGGACGAAGTAAGTAAAACAAGAAAAAAAAAGATGAAAGATGCGATTTTGTCAGAGTAAGAATAACATTTCGGTTTCAGTGAAGCTACTGAATAGCTCTGACTTCCTTCGAATTAAAAATAAGCCTTACTTGTCTTACTTCAAGGACTCGTGTTCTCCTCCTGAACCGTAACGAGGAAATAAAAACCATCAAAATATTTTTGGTCCATGCAAATAACTGTATCATAAATCATCTAATATACCTTTTAGAATATTCTTCAGTCGTTCTCTCAATAGACAAGTTCGCCGAAGTGTTGCTTAGTTTTGTTTTAGTGTGTAGCGTTGCCCTGTGACTAAGATGCTTTGATCAGAGTTCAATTTCGTGGATTCACGCCATAAGCTGCGAGCACAAACAAACGAGTCACAGCATAGTTAATCGGTCCCCTCGATTCACTATGGTCACAGGGTAACCAATGAACATCCTCACGAGGTGAAATTTATTCTCTCCTTTCGATGTCATGCACAAGTGATGATAATTGATGCACTCGTCAACCAAAGATTTTTTCTTGTTGGGAAATATCCAAAAATTTTAAGATGTTATTTGATAATCTACAGCTGCGATGCAGGAATACTCCTGGCGGAGAGTCAACTATGGTGAGACACACGTGATCACGTGAAAAAAGAGACGACAGATAAACAGATAGGAAAACGTAACACGAGCTATATTTCATAAAGTATTATGGTTTATCTTAAACAAACTGTCATCCTTCTTTCTAATTAGTTCTTTTGAAACTAAAAGATAAACCATTAAATAGTTGTTATATTAATTTGTGAGTTCCTCCGAGCAGACTGCCCTGTAAACAGATCCAGTCGGATCCTCCAGGGCAGGATTACCATAAGCAGCTCCCCCCTGCTGTTTCATAAATCTGTTTTCCCTGCCAAAGAGGATGTATTTGGTTTTTTCATTGTCAAGCAAACATGTTTGAAGGTAAACTACTGTTAGTATATCCCTCTATTTGCATCAACTCTGAAGCACATATTGGTCGTACTAAAAAGTGTGAAAATTCTCCGGACCAAGGGTGGGATGGCGGTGGCGTTGGGGTTGAAATAGGCATGGAATCGTGACAAAAATAGGCCACGAAATAGAACTTACGTTCTGACGCGAGTCACGTACCTTTTAATGGTGATTGTTTGACTGGAGGAGATGACGCCCTCGTGAAACGGGTAGTTCCATCCAGTTCCTTTCTCTTTTCAAATATAACTTTCATGAGGTGGTGCACTTTACTGGATTACTCGAACAAACAAGGTGAGAACGTCAAGTCATAGCTTACGCAAGCAGGCGAGGCCGAAGCCTGTTCAAGTTTGCAAGAGGAGCGAAAAAGGGAGATTTTTCCAGCAGCGGAAGGCTGAGGAGAGAGGGAAATTTGTAAAAAGATGAGGGGAGAGAGTGTCTGAGCGATAGTGTGATAGTCAAAGAAATGAGAGGGGAGAGGTTAGAGCAATAGAGTTATTATTTCATTTCGCGCCCCCTCCCCCCACCGTCTATTTTAATTGTAAATCGAGCATGGCGAGTCGAAGAAACGAAACTAATGATGACGCCCGCGATGCAGGCTGATACTAACTAGCAAGGACTTGAAGAGATAACAATCTTAGTTGCTGAAAAAGCCTATGAGAAATTCACCATTGCACATGCTAATATACTTAAAATACATTTGATTTTTAATCAATCCGCTGTAAATAAATTACAGTATAAAACAGACATTAAATTCGCCCGCAATTCACACTCGCATTTAGCTTTGAGAAAATACTAAAAGTAAATCGTGAAGACAAGTCCATTTCCACGAAATGCGAAGCCTAATAATTATCATTTCAAAAAAATTTTGATATATATTTCACGAGTGATAGCGTTCTGATTTCTGAACTTTTGTACTTGGGGGCTTCGAGGATCTAGGTGTTCCCTTAATATAAAAATTCTTCAAACAAATATAAACTAAAAAGTTTTAAAAAGGAACAAGCTCAGGAAACAACAAGGGGCAGAAACATTTTTCCCCCCATAAATTTTCGCAGCACTATTTAGAGAAGACATTTTTTAGTGAAAACATGGACCTATCTTCACGACTTACCCGACACTTACTCCATCCAATTTATCTGTAATGAAAAAATTAATTATAATAATTATTGTCAAGCCCCAATCGTCCACATTACTTTTCACACTAAGGCACAAATACTTCTATATATTGATATAAGAATACACCCTTGACAACAAACTATACAAAACTTATAGAGCTACGCGCTTGCAAGGGGAATATTGAAATTTATAGAAACTTTACACTGCACAGTTGGGATATAAAAATAATGCTGTCAAAATAGAAACCTTCTAAGCCTTGTCAAGGAATGTGACTCTTACTTGTAATTATTTGCAGTCTTGTAAGCTTTTACTTTAAGAATTTGTTTTTAAACGTAGGGCACCTCAATTTTAAAGAATAGCACTTAGTCTATAAAATAACTTTATGTTACATATGGGGAAATAGAAGTTGTAGTAGCAATTGAACCATTTCTCAAAAAAAAAAAGTAAAAATTTCATAAAATAAAGGGTCTGTAATGTACAGCAGACTTACGAGTCCAGCAAGTCGCGTCATACAATCAGCAACATATCAAAATATGCGAGAAACGTAATAAACGACCTAGCTGTAAAAATTTTTTTCTGTACAACAAAGTCTTTAAAATTTGATCCTCTGTTTACAACCACAATACTTTTCCCTTGATACTGAAGGAAATATATTAGCAATAACTTTTACTATTCCTAGGAGGGAACATGTCCTTAGAAGTTAAAATATGCCCTCAATCTCGTTCTGTATTCTTCGTGTTTTTGTTACAACAACATGCCAAATGGAAAGTAGAAATCAATTTTTCACAGGACAAGCATTTTCCGCTGCTTATTAAAGGTTTTATGATACAGTAACATACAACAACAGTTTTAGAAGATGGAAAAAGATTTAAAAAGCAGCATTGCAAAAATAACTAAAATAATTTGAGCAAAATAATACAGAAATAATTGCATTATAATTATTAAGTTTTTTTAAAAATAAAACAGATATATACTTCTCCAGCGTGCTGATAAAAAACCAGGAACACTGAAGTATTTCAGCTTCGAACGGCTAAAAGAAAGGATCAAAGAGTCAAACGGGAAAGAAGATAATTTGGGTCAGCTGAACTATATCCATCACCAATATGTCATATGAGAAGTCTTATTTGTCCGTAGGTCAGCTCGTGACAGTGTAAACACCACGGCTTCCGCGCTGCGAGCTACCTGGTCTTGGGTCAACTTCACGAGGCCATGCACGGTAGTTTCCTTGACTACCTTCCCATCCTTTGTTAACAGGCAAACTTTCCTTTTCTTGCTCAGGTGAGGTCGGCCTCTGTAGTGCAAGAGTAGGGTTGTTATCATCTCCCAGAGACCGCCTGCGCCTGCGGAAAGCAGCACGCTGAGCAGCGGCTTTCTGCGCCTCTCCTGATATGTCTGACTGCTGACGAGACAAGTGAAGATGACGCTCGCTGTGCATCTCCTCTAGTAATTCAGCGATGTGTTGTGCATCCTTCTCCAGCTTGCGCTGGGTCTGAGAACCTCTACCGTCCCTTGACGATATTCTAGCCTTGGAAGGCAGTAGCTCTTTAGCAGAGTCCTTGTGCGATAAGAGTTTAGATTTGGTTCCATACTCTTTACTCACAACTCTGGGCGCTGCATGCGTTTTATTCACAACCAGCGGCCCTTTTGACCTATCGTTGACTAGAGAAACATTCATTCTTGACCGTGGCACATTCCAGTCGAGGCCGCTATCAGTTCTTCCTGAGCTATATCTAGCTGGTGATGTGGATAAATGTTTCGCTGGGCTGGACTCGAGCCGAATATTCCTCGAGCTCACCGTTCTGCTCTCTGGTGATCTCTGTGCTGTTTCTCGTTGCATGCCCCTCTGGCCCCTTGGCACTTGAACAGGCTGACCCCCCGGAGTCTTTGTAACACTTGGTTTGACGTTAAACTCTTTCAACGAAACCGGAGTCGTTGTATGAACTGATCCGATCTTTCTCCGAGCAGCAAGGGAAGATGGAGAATCTCTCCCCCTATTTTGGCTGCTACTCCGAGGTGTTGTATTACCATCGGACAGTCTACTTGAGGTGCTCTCAAATCTCTGCCGTAACGTACCCACCTTTCTGGACGAAACTTCGGGTGTGCTTTCAACGCTAACCCTCCTCGGTGGAGAGGAGGGCTGGGACCTTGGCCGCTCGTCTGATGAAGGAACCGTGAAATATTTACTCGTGTTTATTTCTATTACACTGTTCGATTTCCGCTCTAGTACAGGATTTTCGGCGTTCCTTGGAGTTGTATTTTTTTCAGAATTCCTTGTGTGAAACCCTTCTCCTTGAGAATCAGTTGAAGGGCTCACTCCAACAATCTTGTAAATTCTACCAGGTTCATCGGATGATCGCCGTTGTGCCGTATCTACGCCACTTGGGATTGGTCTCTTCAGAGGTACGCTTCTCACAGAGGATCTATTCTCATAGTTTTGTGCCTCAACTCTGTTTTCTTTATTTCCATATGTGTTATCTACATCCAGTAAAATCCGTAGCTTTTCGTCAAACGTCTTGGACATGCTGATGGCGCATTCGTTTCCTTCGTCGCTGGATGCATCACTGCTATCTTCAGATCCCAGAGATCTCCTGGCCAGGCGGTGCTCTTCAGCACTGTCTCGTTTTGTCTTAAGATCCAGACTAGCTGGCCTCCTAGGTGATTCAAACTGCCTCAGTGTCCCAGACACTACTCCACGCCCTACAACAGCCACCACGGTTTCGTCGGATCTTGGCGTTGGCTCGTGATGTACCACCTCGTTTGCAAAAGACATCGCCTTCACGCTATTGTTTATTCGCGCTGCTTCGCTGTGAAGAGTTATACTAGCCTTCTTATCAGGATGAGGCTGAACAGTAACGTGAAGCGAGTCTAGCGACGGGTTCTTGCTGCTATGTGCACTGCTACTTCGGCTAGTGCTGCTGCTACTCAGCTGATCAGTACTCTCAAACACGCCCTGATCCGACATCTTCCGTTCACGCGATACGTCATCAATCCTTTCACCAGGCGGTGATGTGGGGGATGTCACCCCCCTATCTTCACTCTGTCGCCTTTTCTCCGCAGCTTTCTTCTGCAGGTTAAGCCTCAGCAGCCTTCGGCGTGTCTCTTCAGTGAGGGAAGAGAAGCTCGGCTTGGGGGTGTTGTCCTGATCACTGGGTGGTTCGTCAGCCGACTTCTTTGCCTCTGTATCCTGCACCATGGTAAAGGTGACATCCAAAGGTGAAAGCGACTGCTCAGGTATTCCGGGACTGGTTGACCTTTTCTGGGGATTAACGCGTCGATACGACGGAGGGGGCGGCATTGCGTATGAATACGCCTTAAGTGAACCTGATCCTTTAGCTCTAAACTCTGCGTCTGGAGGGTCTAACACTAACTGGAGAGAGCCCGGGGCGCTCTCTGTACTCCTCTTGCTGCTAAATCTTGTTGATCGTTCCATGGTGGGCGAATTAGATCTCGACCCGTCTCCTGACAAAGCTCTCACCACCGGCGATCTCTCGAGAGGAGGCGAACCCTCGGATCCCTGTGAATCGGACAGCGGTCCATCGGAGGAGCTGCCCTGGCCCGAGTCAGACTTTGAACTTTTACCACTTCGGAACTTTGGGATATGAAGAGATATTCCGCTGGACTGTAAGACCAACAGCAAGCATAAGAAAAGGTTACAGCACATATCGAGACCGTGTGACCCATTGTCCTTTATTTAGGTATAAGGACCCCCTTGATAAAACATTCTATTTCTCATGACCAGTAAGCAGTCGTAACTGTTCACGATTTACATAAAAGTGGGCTGAAGAAACAAGTATGGGCTGAGAAGAGAGCTTAACTCAGAACTGACATTCAGCACGACAAGAAAAAAAAAATACAACGCAAAACTAAACAACAACACTCACCTTCGGTTTATATGACCCATCATCTCCTGATAAGGAAAGAAAACAAACAAATTAATGCTAATAAAAGGTAAGAGCCTTGTCCATACACACTCCGATTTGACTCCTCGTTGTTATATTCTCCATCTTGTGGAAGCAATACGTGACATATTCGAACGTTATTGGGAACCTCGCGGAACAAGCATGAATAAACGGATACAGAATCCATTTTAGTCACGTGGTCTGCAAGACTGTTTTATCTCCTCGTTTGAACATATTGTAAGTAACTGTAACCATTTTTCATGGGTGTGGATCTGAAGTGCTACTACACTTTATGACACATGAAGGTTATACAGCGACTATTGTATTTTAGCCGGAAACTTGCTAATAAGGAAAAATCGTTTGTTCTCGCCAACCGCTAATCGATTCGACTAACGTAAAAATGAATGTTTGACCAGTGCCTTAAGAGTGCAAAATCCAAATAACAGTGTAGTTCAGGTATAGTATTAACAACGTCCAGTTTACTACCATAATACTACGATGATATTCGCCATTATAGTTAATCTCAGGCTTGTATGGTTTCTCTTGTTCGACGAAAGGTAAACAACTGAGAACTCACCGAAATTTACAGCAACCTGTCCTAAAGAGCTCAGAACATTTTGAGACAGGATATGCTCTTGCAGTGTTTCTTGACCTTGTGGGAGGGCCTATCAGGAAAATATCAATAACTTCTTCAGTCTACATCTTATAAAGGGTAATTAAAAGGTTTCTTTTCAACATCATGGCCTAACACATAGCGCTGTTAGTAAAATGCGGAAAACACCGAGTTTAGAGCGCTTTTCGATTAAGTGTCGTACAACGAAAACCGAAGTTATCACTTCGCCCAAGCAGACGAAAGAAAATACCGCAAAAAAAAAAAAAAAAAAAAGGGAGAACTAGCACTAAAACCAAGCGAACTTCCTGAAGCGCGCGTGATTGTTCTTTGTTTTGCATCTGATTGGTTAAGAGAGTGGCGCGAGTTTTCTGGACCAATCACCGAGCGAAGTAAGGTAAAACCAATACAATCTGGGATTACTTTCGACACTCACCCGAAAACCACTCCAAAAACAGACGAATAAACAACAGGGAACGGTCTGAACTCGACTATTTTGATGTTGATTCCCGAGTGGGATAAACAAACGTTGGAAGAAAGATCAACTGGGCCTGAAATAATGAGCAATTTGTGCTTGTTGACAGACTTTTTTAGACAAGTGTGGCTCGACCCACTTTTGCTTGAACCCATTTAACTCGTCTAACGCACGAGGCATTAACTTACACGTTTCACAATGCAATTCAGATTCGCCTGAGTCTCCTCTTAACAGAGCAACTAACAAAAACCACAATCTCAAGAAAAAACAATTAAAATGGAAGGAAAAAGTAATTGAATGATACCTTCACTGGGCATTCATCACCTTCAGACTCCTCAAAAAACCAATCACACTGAAATAAAGTTTGCAAGTTTTAGTACAAATGGAACTTGCATAATAATAACGTTGAGGCCATCCTAAGTTTATCGATCCTTTAATTTTCTTACTTCAGATATAAGTGTTTCAACTATGCGACACTGGTCCGACATGTCTTTCACCATGGCCATCATAGAGTCGTCCCCAGTCCTAATGATGGTTGGGCCGAACACAATGGCCAGGTTACGTACTTCCATCTGCAAAGCAGAGCAACAAAAGACTTGTTCGTTCTTTGGTATTATATAGAGTTTTGGCATGTGATTACTTCAGAGTTGTTAATCTTTACGGCGATATTCCCCCAACACTTAAAACACTAGCCGCGCAATGTTTGAAACAATCGAGTATAATGTATGTAACGTATAAGACGTTTTGGTGTGTAGTATCTCTCAGGATTTTGACCAACAAGGAAATTGTAATGGACTCACGCGGTATTTGTTCATAACTTAGCGCAATAGGATAATAACGAAATATCAAATAACTCCGCTCACTAGGCTGTAAACAGCATTCGGGTTTCTTCTTTTTATTTTTGGGGCGCAAAAATCCTGGCAAAGTCAGATTCAATCGCCGTGCTTCCAATACTGGCAAGACCGAGAGGACAAAATTACTCTCACTAAGGGGAGCGGATAGCAGGTACTTCAGTCAAGAGTAAATCTGTCTTTTTCTCCGATTTCTCTCACCCAACGATCGCACTAAGCCCTTGTAATTTTAACTCGCAAAGTAGAGGCATTGTTAACAAATAACTGGCCAACACGAGTGGAAAGATACAGTGTGCATGACTATTCACATTACCTTATTCTTGTCACAGTTATCTGACACCAACTTCAAATGATTCACGAGTGATTTGAGTGTTTCAAAGTTATGATCAGGCAATTCTTGCACCTAACGAAAACAAAAAATCAGTAACGAACAACTCCTCTGTAATCCGTGATTTGAGTCGTCATCAGTCCTTCATCCGTAACAACAAATTAACCCCCTTATTTTATCCTAAGGAGATTGCCCTTCACCCTTAAACTCAAGGAGGGGATGAAAAGGAGAACAGAAAAGTATAAAGGCAAAAGGGTTATCTAAGGGGTAATCTTTTAATCACCCATGAGTGACCAAGCCAGAATTTCTCCCAACAATATCAAACGGGTACGGGTACGGGTACGAAAACGGGTACGGGTAAGGGTACCCTACTACGCTTAATCTCCAACGCTTACTCTCCTACGGGTACTCTCCTACAGGTACTCTCCTACGGGTACTCTCCTACGGGCACTCTCCTACGGGTACTCTCCTTCGGGCACTCTCCTACGGGCACTATCCTACGGGTACTCTCCTACGAGCACTATCCTACGAGCACTATCCTACGAGCACTATCCTACGGGTACTCTCCTACGAGCACTCTCCTACGGGCACTCTCCTACGGGTACCCTCTTACGGGTATTCTCCTAAGGGTACTTTCCTACGGACACTCTCCCTTGGATGCTCTCCACGTTACAAAAGGTGTAATGTACCTACCGGTCACCAAAAATACCGTGACCTCATTCCTAAGAGCAAAAAGCCCTCCACTACCTCATCATCATACTATACACAAAACTAACCATGGATCTTATCGCCCACATCCTTTCAACAGGGTCCTCCTTCTTATTGGCTTCAATAAATCCATCGTACAAATCTGTGCAAGGAAGTATGAAAAAAATATTAACAATGACTAAATTTGTTGGCCCCCAAAACAAACAAGCAATCGTCTTATTCAGAAAATAAAGGCACATATTTATTACTTAATCCGTTCGCTACTGATACTTTATTATATTTTGCTCAACCTCGTCTAACGATTTTTCATTTCTTTTGATTTTCTTAGTACCTGCAGTAACAAGACCCTCCGGTAACTTCCGCAAGAAGAGTTTCATGAGGCTGGTGATATTATTGACATCATTCCACCTCTACAAAGAGACATTTAGAAATAAATGAGAGTCCAAAAACAACCTCATCAAGATCTAAACGTTTACATAACTATAGTCAAGTGAACCTATTTCCATCAGAAATACCAATTCAATGGCAAAAAAGACTAAAGGGAATCGAGAGAAGATGACCACATCGTAAACCGTAACTATAACTCTTTGTTTCCAGACATGATTGAGGTAAACGAGGATTACAGCTTCTTTACGTTGTCGCTCTCCAACTTGTCACCAGTGCTTTCCGTTCCCAAACACCGTCCTTAAAATCTGGCTTTGATTAAAGTCAACTTCACAGTACAAATGCTTTCATGCCGGAACTTCATTGACCCGCCATTCTTTATTAATACTAATATCCTTGGCAAACAAAAAGGCTTAGGCCGGTTCATCTTTTATCCACTTTCCGAGGGAAAAAAAAGAAAAAAGCAAAATTTCCAGTTCGGCACCTCATACAGAAAAGGTAGCTATCCAAACTAGCGCTAAGATATTCCAAAGACACCTCGATAAAGCTCAAATATCGCAGGCATACAGCTTACTTTTTAAAATCTGACATGCAATTACATTTAAAAGCTGCACAAGCGTTTCTAAAGACACGACGAATAAAGTACCTCTTCCTCGAGACAAATATTTTCGATCCCTCGGTTGTTGAGCTCTTCTTGTAAAGCAGTGACAGCAGCGGAATTTCCAGGAACTCTATGAATAAACAAGGAATATAAAATTGCTTAGGGTTATAATACATATGTTCATGAAATAGGGAAAAAGAGGTGAAGGATCGCTTTACGAAAATCGTTGAATTAATTCACAAAATGAAAAGAAATAGAAGAGGGAAACTTGAAGTGGAAATTGCACAGACTGCGGATGAGGTGCACGATACCGCTAAAATGTTTGTTGATAGTTTCTAGAAACACGATAATCGATTTTTGATCCCCTATTCTCGAAAACTTTGAGGATCAAAGCTTAATTCGAGTTTTGAGACGTTCGAGACCTTCTAACCCTTCACATTCATATTCTCCACACTGATCTCTATACATTTCCTAAGGCGCTAGCAAGGAGAATTTGTTTAACAATCATCAGAAGCTTCTTAAATTGGTGATGATTTCCTTTTGTCTCATGCCCTTTATATTTGATTCAATTCTGATACTGTAAGGAGAAATTAGAAGCCAATCTCTCAGGGGTTTAAAGGTAAAGAAATTATCAAAGGGCTTTCGAGACATTTTTATATTGTTTACCTGTAGACACCAACAGTCTCCAGTCCCTTTTTCTCTACCACCTCACAACAGTGTTCCACGATCAGAGGCACAAACTGCGAGAAAACAAATTCAAGTTATTGTTAAAACATTACTTTTCTTTCGGACTCTGAAATATTTATTTCAAGTCCATCATTTTATTAACCGATAGAGGAACAGCTGATAGACAAAGCAAAAGAGTAATTTACTCGCTAAAAGATGCAAAAATCACTCTAACTCTTTCCTTGGAAATTTTCCTTCAAACTTACTTCGATTATTCAGAAAAGCGACTTACGATAGACTTCCACAAAATAAGCTAGACATTTAACAACCCTTTTTAAAAAGTCGATTTGTATGCATTACGAAAATTTTAATCATAGACAAAGAAATTCGAGACTAAAACTGTAAACAAAACGGATATTTTGTTAGCGACGTTGTTTCGTTTACTTTTTCACGTGGGTTTATCTGCGAATGCAACGAGAAATATTTCGTCGAAACCACACACGTTCCCAAAAAACTGTTGCATGGGATTACCCATAACATCAACATAATAACAGCGATTTCCATGCCATGTTCATTTCTATCCTTAGGTCAACAGCTGTGAAATTGGTTTGACTGACTGTTTCCAGCCTCCTTAAAATGCGCCAGAAAATTGTTCAAACATGATTTTTTTTAAATTGAACTGGTCAGGTCTTTCAGGTATTAATAGCAATATAAAGCATAAAAAGAGACCCTTATAATATGATATTTTCTTTTTTTATATATGTTACTAGAAACAATTCCTCCTTAATTGATAGGGTGCCAATTGGAGTCCATGTCATCTGCCTGAAGTTGAGACTTGAATCATTATCAGCCAGACATACTGGCCAAGTGTCAGGGAAAACTGTATTTGTGACAATCTCTGAATGCATCCAACTATTAAAATTTACAATTTAGTCACGTAGGCAAACTGATTTTGAAATATTTGAATTAACTTTGAGTTCGATGAGATGTTTCAGCTTTTCTATTTCCGTTTCGCACCAGGAGAGAATTTGAAACGAAACAATGGTAAGAACAGGATAGAACGCTTTCAGAAGTTCGTTGCTGGACAAACAGGATAAGGTGTTATGTAAAATTTAAAAAAAAAACAAGAGATTTCGAGCCAGAAATGATCACTGTTATTCCATACGCTTACTTACACATTCTTTACAAGTTACAATAATATCTCTAAAATTCATAGGCGTCTTGAAAGTTTTTCTATCACCAAAAAAAAAAAAATTCACTACCCTTGTGATCAGTTCGCACGGCAATATGGTGTTAGCCTTCCTTAACTAATCCTTGACTAATGACCCCAAACTTCAAAATAACTGAGAAAGTTCAACAACGCAGTAAAGTAAAACTATTTTTACGTTTGTTTCGACTATATCATTTTGTATTGTCGTATTCCGGATAATTGCCGTCGCTTGAAACATATGCTTAAGACGCGGTTGGTGTTCCGATTCCGATGCTGCTTTCCATATGGAAATAAAGAATACCAACAACAGCTTACGCGACGATGTAAGAAATCTCTTATTTCTTTATCCCGATAAAATATCCCTCGAACTTTCATTCATGATAACCGTAACTTCACAAGTCAGGCCTGGGAGTATTAATATGAGTGTGATCCAAGAGATATTTAACTCCATAGACAGCAAAGTGCTTGTCTAATTGTTTGTTTTACCGCTTGCCTAACTCCACTAATCTTCCAGCAGTAAAGAAATGGATTTAGTGTGGAATTGAAGTAAACTAGGAGAATCGCTGTTTCCTTCAGGACATCTAAGGGCAGTGAATATGATTTCCTCTGGTTGATCACAATTCCCTTTATAAAATATGGCAAATAACAAACAACTAATGCTGACTGCACCCACAGTGCACTGTACACTGCCTTTCTGTATCGCGCCATGTTCAGTATGTTTACTTGGCTCGGCCGTTGCTGATTTTGATCTTGTACTTGAGCCTGATGATGAGCGAGTGTGCGAAAAATCTTTGTGTACGAGGCGATTGAGATAAGCAAGCAAGATGGTATAGTAGTATACCCATACCATAAAGATATACGGTTATCTAAAATGAAGCATAAAGCAGCGGAAAAAGAAAAAACCCAACCGATAGTTACAGTGACACATACGCGCTTCAAAGTCACAATTTGTTTGTATCTCAGCCCCAACAACAAGGTGAGAAGTCTCTCCACACTTATAGCTGTCGAAGTCAACAAAGAAACTCCACATAATGCAGCGCTTGTAATGAAAGCTGCGTCAGATGCGTATCGAGAAAGAATCGTGGATAGAGTCCGGGAAATCCACCAGGTAACGTAGAGAGGCTGGCTAACAAGACCAACCAACAGATCAGCTGTTGCAAGACAACGATACAAGAATTTGGACGGAGGATGAAGGGAAGTTTCTTTGCGGAGGGCAACAAGGATTAGAGAATTCCCAAGAAATGCTGTGATGGAGAGGAGAATGTTGGCTGCTGGGGAAAAAATCGATCGTTGATGCAACCCATCTAAGAAAGAGATGTTCTTCTGCGTTTCATCTCCTGTCAAATTGGTTTTCGCCATTAATTCGCAGCCCAAAATCGCCAGAAAAGTCTAATCAAAGTGGGCACGGATAAGTCGATACAACTCGCCCACCTCAAATTAGCAATGAATCCTCCGATTTTTCTAGGACACACCTGATAGGTTCGTGCTCATCATGTGATGATTGAGGTCGCCTTATTGTTTCCTTCGGGACCAGTCATTATGTTATCTCCTAGGGGTGGGGTGGGTGGGTTTTTTCTTTTTCATTTTTAGAAGGAAGGGGGAAATCACATGGTTTTTAGGAGAACCTTGGGGGATCAGCTTTCGCCAACAGAGTATGAAGGGGGACTACAGAAAACTTACTGCCAATTAACTGCCACTGTGTGCATGTGGGGAAGGAGAAAGAGGAGAAAGAGCCCCGGGTAAATTTTATCGTGACGCAACCAAAATCCTCCCCTCCCTGCCTCCCCCTTTGTCATTGTTTTCTTACTCTTTAAAATGGCGGAAACGAAATTTTGCGCAAAAACTAAACAAAAAGATGTTGGGACTTATCGATTGAAAATTAAGTAAGGTATTTGGCGCCTGCACACTATTAGAAGACTGAGATCTTAAACTCATTTGCATACCATATGGTGTCATCGGATGAAATTTTACAAAATTCGTAAGATCGAACCGAAATGACTGTTTCATGCCGGAGATAACTTTGAAATAACCCTAAAAAAGGTGTGTCATACCTAGTTGCAAGGGATTCGGAAAAAAAATTAAGAACACCCCAATATATTCTTTGAGAAGAAAATTAATGCTCAGCCCGAAAAATCCAGCGCACAGGTGGTCGAGCCCACTCCCACTTAAACTGCCTAGTTAACAAATGATGGAGTTCTTTTTTTTTTTTTTCCTTTTTAGTTTTGTTCTAGACTATTTTTAACCCTTTAACTCCCAAGATCTCATTAGTAATTCTCTTTACTGTCTACCATACAATTCATATGATGTTAGTTTGGAGAATTTGGAATTGGATCAACCAATAATCCCTCAATTGATATTTTTCTGTACTCTCATTACTTGTCTGCTTGATATCGTGCTGATAGCGTAAGGAGAAATTATGTGTAGGTCACTAGTATGACTTAAAAGGTTAATGATTTACTTTCATGTTTCCTTCTTTTTTTTCTGTCAAGCAAGCTGCCACTTATATGGCGGGCGAATGAATTCTCTATGTTGCGATTCACGATCTACCTTTATGTTTTAGAGTTATTTTCCTGTAACTTAGTGAACAAGTAATTTATGAATCGCGGCCAGAAACCAACCAATGGATACTTAAGAACTATAAAGAGTCGTTGAACAATTTATTCGATTCTACCTTCATAAACAACATTTATTTTCAGACTTCCTAATGAGCGAGTACTCGTTTAAAACGCGCGCTCGAAATGCCTTATGGGTGACAAGTAGGACAATTCGCATTTTTCTATGGTTTATTCTTCCTGGAGTTTATGATTTGCCCTGATTTTCACGCAGTGTAAATATTTTTAAACCAACCTTGTTAGCCTTGGATGATGGACACAGATCTAGTGGTACGCCAACAGAGTGCCCTAAAAACACAACATGATACAGTAAGTCCCTTAAATTGCCACAGCAACGGCACTATCACAGTCTTCTCATAAAATTGAAATACTTTCAATGTTTAAACAACTATGTAAGCTCCACATTTGCCATGAAGAGGTAATGCAGGTGTGAGTTATGACCAGCACAGAGTACTTTGACAATTTCATAAAGACAATTTCATAAAGACAATTTTATCATTGGGACACAAGTAAGCTTACGATGTAATAACACCGCATCTGCCTAAACATTCCTCATTAAAACGTAGTCAACTACAGCCATAATTGTGACCACTTTTAGCCGCCTAGTTACTTAGCACACTCTACCTGATGGATAACTATTTGGGTGTTTAGGTTTCTTCCGCTTGTTGGTCGATTTGTTTCCATGGTTTTTCCCACCTTCACCTTCAAAAACAAAATCATCATCAAAAAAATAACCAAAGATGACAAATTTTCAAAAACCAATAAATTACTAGGGAATACAAGTCGAGACTGCAAAGTTTCAAATGTCACGAAATGAGAGAAATTGCAAAAGTTGCGGCGAAAACTACGATTAAAACTGTAAAGGAGCAAAAACAGTACAAAGATGAGTAAAGCGTTGAGCAGAGGCTGCAAGTGTGAATTTCAGAGCCTCGCTGTCTTTCCCAGTTCGAATTTAGATGTCTTGCCAAATAATAAAACCCAGGATGTCTCTAAAAACAAAGCCAACTGGGGAAAAAATATACACGTTTTGAACACCAAAATCATTTTGCAATGTCCAATTCTCAAACTGTCACTAAGTGTAACCCCTCCTCTCCTCCCATCGTGTACCAGACGGGATAGGAAGGAGTTAGAATAAACGAGCTCAGACTATCCGAGCATCAGACTATCATCATGGTTGCGTCTTGCACCTTTCGGTCCAGCGGTAATGTTCTTGAATGACAGACTCTTCTTGATGTTTGATATTCCAAGGCTGTGTATCTTGGTGTTCACTGGAGGCGACATTTTGTGACCAGACGAAGCAGCGGTTGTACTATAAAAAATAACATTGGCTCAACGTCAGTATCTGAGAAACTGCCTACCTACCCCTCCCCAACCCAAAAACAGTCAACTGATAACAAGTTAGGTTGATGTTTGGTTAGGGGAAGGGTAGGTGCGCAATAGCGCATATACTGAGATTGATTAATGAAACAATAATGATTATCAAGAGAGAACCCTTATCTTCACTAGCCACTCCTGTTTATCTTTGAGTGACCAGCATCTAATTTCTCCTTAAAGTAATATCGTCGAACCACTCACTACGATCATGAAAATAACTAAAAGGAAATGATCGCCAAACTAAGAAGCTTTGATTGTTGCACAAATTCTCCTTGTCATTACCAAAGTAAATGTGTAGGGATGAGTATAGAGAATATGGATTCTGATCTTAGGGTGTAAAGGGTTTAATTATTTATAAATTTATTTCGTTATTAGCGATATTTATGCAGGCTGGCCCAGTTCAGCTTCAAGCTGGTTTGAATGAGGGTCTGCTTAAGACATACCAGGTAAAACAACATGTATTTAAAAATATAAAATACAAGAGAAGCCCACAACACAAATTACAATTTACACTTAAGATATAAAACATACGTTACATTACAAAGTATATTACATTAATTACATGCTTCAAGTCACATAACAAGAGCGGTCCTCTTCACAGTTATAAAATTAGTTTCATACATACATTTTCTTTCACGCTACAAGGCTGATAGTATTTCTAACGAAATACGTGGTTGAAGGAGTTAATGTTTACTTCTTACCCAGAAGTCTCTTGTTCCACCGTTTTCATCCTTCTGATGATCAAACTCTGACTACTCACGCCATTTTCCTAAGAGAAAAGTCATCTTTACGTCTTTGATGATCTCATTACAGGGTGCGCAGCACCACACAATAAGGGTTCTAGTTAGTAATGCATCTTAGTGCGAAACCAAGAGGGGGAAAGGAGTGGAGAGGAGAGGGAAAAAAGCCTTCTGGGAAACCTACAATAAACAACAGTTACCTCAGTTTGCCACTTAGAAACAGTTTGGTAGGGTGCATCAAAACTGCAAACACCTAGAACCCTTAACAAACTTCAAATAGCATTTCTGTTTGTATTCATGACAGTTTTATGAACTAATTTCAGTGATTTATCTTTTTGGTGTTCTATATTCAACATAATAGCTCAAATGACTTAAAATAATGGAAAATACACTAACATCTTCATCTGGGTTGTTGTTGGCCTGAATGGCTGAAATCCAAGACATCATGGACTCAAGATCTTCACTCTACAAAATAATGAAGAGAACTACTGTTAACCCCCTAATTTCCAGTAGCAATTAACATATAACTTCTCCATATAATATCTATACATTATCCAGCACACAGGTAATGGGAATACTTGAACTGATCAGGTGGAAGTTGTTATCATGATCTAACACCAAATCCTCAAAACCAATTTACAAGGAAAAATATAACAGCTGGAGCAGAGAATTAACAATCAGATCTTGGGAGTTAAAGGGCTAGCCTTTCTTTCCACACAAACAAAA